TACGACGCAGGTAAAACTGTCTAAATGTCAAATTTAACAAATATAAATTGACAGCAATATGGGTTTTACCAACACTGAATTGTTGGAATAATCGATGGCTGTTACTCCTGGATAGGATAGATTACACAGGATAAGGGGAAATTGTCAAATTTAAAGTATTCAAATCCATTTTGTCATCACAAATTATTTAATCAAGAAAACACAGACATCAGCCAAATTAGATGCATGTGAATTGGGTTATCATGTTCATTCTCAAAATTCACATTGGTATTTTAGTCTCGTCAGAATGCGAAATCAAAGGATTGCAGATTAGGCGGCGGTGTGAACTATTTTTACAAAGCTTCGTATTTCAGAAGCTAGAAGGCCTGAATGCATCATACCTTGCATACATATCCCTAATATGTTATGAAGTTTTTATCTGTCATATGTCCATTGCCTTTGATCTCATTTTCATGGTTCATCGACTTCCTAAAATGCATAGTTGTTTTTTGTCAAGTAAATTGTGATTGATAGGATAACGATATTTTATTTATGCATATGGGATCCTTCCATGTTCTACTTGTAAGTACAATAAGTAATAAGTAAAATATAGTTGGTGTATGGTGCACGTCTTTTTGTCATGGTTCATCGATCTGACCTTGACCTCATTTTCATGATTCATTGGTCAATGTTTAGTTTTTGAATTTGGTTTGTTTTTCAGGTGCAATAAGCAAAACACCAGCTGTATATTTGTATGCAAGTATTGGAAGGTGTACATCTCCGTCTGGAAGGTTTCATCTGACCTTGACCTTTTATCATGGTTCATTGGACAATGTTAAGTTTTGGGAGACTTTTAGTGAAACCTTTATCTTAAAGATCTCAATATAAACTTAATCATGATCACTTAAGCAGGCGAGACATTTCAGTGTGCACTCATGTACGATGAAATATGTAGTATATATTCGTGGTGAAAGACGCAAGTGAAGTTTTTTGCCATGTCCGATTACGTTATCCCATTTGTGTAAGACTCAATTTCTAATTTTAAGACCATTTGTTTTTAAATTTCAGAAATTTATAATGTAATATTGTTTGGAATGATTGATAGGTTTTTGAATAAATCTTGTTTTATATAATTTAAGTAAATTCCGATGCGTTGTTGTTTGCATTTATTGTTGTTTAAAGGCATACTTAACTGACAATGTGCCTACAAGGGAATCGGAAGTATCGAATTTGATGACGAGACATTTCGAAATACTTTTCCTTTCAAAACAAATCAAACTTACTTTACATGCAATGAAAAGTGAAAAAGAAAAGACACACTATGAATGATAGCCTTAAGACACAGAGTCGTAATGTGTATGTCTATATGTATGGCAAGCCGTTTTTATATTAATTCAATTTCAAGATATCTTAGAAAGTAAGTAAGATATCTGATAAACTATATAAGATATCTTGCATTCTATATGAGATATCTTATCTAATTTGAAGTTAATAAGATATTTTATATACTTTATAAGATATCTTATTAACCTTAAAAGATATCTTATCAACTTAAAATGATATCTTTTAAACTTAATAAGATATCTTGTATAGTTTATAAGATATCTTATATCTTTTTAAAAATATCTTTTAAACAAAAACTTTATGAGATATCTTGTATAGTTTATAAGATATCTTTAAAAGTATATAAGATATCTTATATACTTTATAAGATATCTAATAAGCAATACATGATATCTTATAGAATTGATTAATAAGATATCTTATTTGGTTTATAAGATATCTTCTTTAATATATAAGATATCTTATTTAGTTTTAAAGATATCTTATTTAGTTATAAAGATATCTTATTTAGCTTTAAAGATATCTCTATTAGTTTTATAAGATATCTTTATAGTTTATAAGATATCTTATTTGATAAATAAGATTTCTTATTTAATATATAAGATATCTTCTTCAATATATAAGATATCTTATAAAGAATACAAGATATCTGAATAACTGCAAATAAATAAGATATCTTATAAAGAATACAAGATATCTTATATACTTCATAAGATATCTTATTAAATTAAAAAGTCAATTACTTAATAAGATATCTTATTTAGCTTTAAAGATGTCTTTTTAACTTTATAAGATATCTTGAAAATGGAATAAATATAAAAACGGCTTGCCATATATATGTAACTATATAATGTTCTTTTACTGATGTACAAGTCATTTGTATATTTTGTTCTGTGTGCAGCATACAAATGGATATTATTTACTTTATCTCTGCATTTACTGCAATGCAAACTTTTCGCGTCGTGATACAAAGACAAAAAACTCAACGGAAGTCCATCTATCTCATTGTTATACTGCCATGCAACTTTTCCACAGTTCTATGACTTTATAAAACACCACAAGGAAGCTGATTTGTACCACTGTTATTACTGCTCAACAACCTTCATACTTTTTGAAGAGATGATAAAATACTCAACGGAAAATCACAGCTTATTCATTCTAAATTTAAACATCTAGAACTGAATTCATCAATGTGACAATATGGTTACAGGAGCCGTAATCTTAACATTATTCCTGACACTTTAAAGGGCGCGGGCACACAATACAAACGGACTGTACAAGTAATGCTCTGAAAATACATATTGCCAAGTACAGATATAACTATGATTTTGAGACCTATTCTAAAACAATATACATCAACATCAGTTGCTGAATCTGCAAATGAAGATAGAAATAGACCTTTACTATTGTGGAAGAATATGAATGACTAGTACAGCAGGCAATAGGGGTTTTGTGTAAAATTGGTTTTTCCATCTTGCATTTCCAGACTGGCTTTTAGAGGATGTAGTTTTTCAAAGTTTCCGCCGTATGATTCATATATTGTGCTGAAAGAAGATCTTCTAACTAAATTCTTATTGAAAAAAAACAGCTTTTTTCATTTGTGAAGCGACAGTGCTATAATTATCGAGCAATAAGGAGTGTGGATACAGAATTTTTTTGGGCACATTCCAGGAAATAAATCCTCGAGGGACGGGCGTGGTGGCACCACAAGACATTCCAAGAGCTGTTAGTATGGTCATTGAACTATCAGATGCCAGGCTGAACCCAGAGAGAAGAACACAAATTAAATATAGATTAAACTGTTGACACAGAGATGTCTCGCTAATATTTGAATATGTAATTTCAATGGTGTAATGCAAATGATTAAATTAAAAATGTTTATGTGAAAAAATTGAAAATTTGATGAGCTATGACTGAGGTCAAAATGCCAAATGATTTTTGTAGAAGATGCTAATACAACTGCATACCAAATATCGTTGACCTATCTTAAGGGGTTCACCTTAAACATACTAGTCTAATCACAAACTTGAACGTAGAAACTATGCAAGGGTTTGAGAGGCAAAACATTGAGGGAGTGGGGTAAATAATCTCTATTAAAATAAAAGAACCTTAGTGAGCACGCTCACATACCCCACGCCACCACATTGTCACTGGGTAAACAAAATCTCACCAGATTCCTAAGTTCAAAGACTCATAACTCCAACAATAGTCAACTGATAAAAATTTCTTGTGAATATGCACATTTCCATATTATGTCCTTATAACCTACAAAGTTTCATGAAATTCTGTTTCAGAGGAGTTGCGATGACAAACTGTTACAGTAGTATATTGAGGCCAATAAGTGCAAAGGGGCATAACTCCTAGAAAAAAAATTGAATCATAATTTCCTGTCGATATGCACGTCTACATAGTATGTCCTTATTGTCTACAAAGTTTCATGAAATTCTGTTGTGTGGTTTCAGAGAAGTTGCGATGACCAAAACAGGACTGACGGACTGTAGTATATTGAGGCTAATAAGTTCAAAGGGGTTTACATATAACTCCTAGAAAAAAAATTGAATCATAATTTCCTGTCGATATGCACATCTACATAGTATGTCCTTATTATCTACAAAGTTTCATGAAATTCTGTTGTGTGGTTTCAGAGGAGTTGTGATGACAAACTGTGCAGTAGTATATTGAGGCCAATAAGTGCAAAGGGGCATAACTCCTAGAATAAATATTGAATCATAATTTCCTGTCGATATGCACATCTATATAGTATGTCCTTATTATCTACAAAGTTTCATGAATTTCTGTTGTGTGGTTTAAACATTATACCTGACGCAATAAATTGCGTGGGGGTATAATAATGTAAGCCACAAGTTTATACAACTGCATACTAATATCATTGACTTATCATTAGTTGTTAACCTTAAAGTATATATCACAAACTTTGGCATTGTCTACACAAATTTTTGTTCTAAGGGAGACAATATCCTAAACAATAAATTGAACGAATACAGGAATAATGTCAATGGGTTCTACACAATGATAATTTTAATTGATGTGGTCAGTTCAGAGAGAATAAATTATCAAACCAAATTAAAGAATCATATGCATTTCCAAATCCCATAGTCACATTGTCCTACAAACATATGACTGGTCTTTTTTCAAACGTACATGTTGTTTAATATATATCTAATACTTATATCATACTTATATCATCATGATCATCTTTTTTCTTGATTTATGTGGTTTATACATTTTAGGAGATTCTACATGCAAACATCAAAGGACAAAGTCTATCTAGTGAAAGAGATTGAAATGTTGAATGTCGAAACTGACAGAATAAAAAACCAACAAGTAGCTTTTGTTGGTGTTTCCTTCCTTCTGTCTCATATAATTTTTCTAAGGAATCAAGTCATCAATTTGATATCAAGCTTTATGTGAGATATGAGAATGTTATACTGTGTGATGCAGATTCATCGATCATAGACTTTATATTTACCGATCCTACACAAAATGGCTATGTATGATATTTTCGAAGCATTTTTCTCAGAAAATACAAATCAAGGCTTTACCATATATATTTACTATGTAGTGTTTTATCTCATCCATATGTCGAAGTTAAATTTATGTGTTAAAATCCTAACATCATATGGTAACAAGTGTGTTTGTCTGTTTCAAACGATAAATGAAGTATCCAATTCATTTAACAAATAATAATCATAGTAATCATGGTAATGAAAAATAATAATAAAAAATAATGTATAAACAGTTGCCATTTGTACATGTAGCTAGAAAAGAGAAAGTGTTTTTTCTCAGTTGTACGCAATGAAATTTGTATAAAAAAGATTCCAACAGATTGTAAATAGTATAATAGTTCTCTAAAAATCAATTTTAAAATTGCTTTAAAATAATTAAGGCCAATCATCCAATAACTGAAAACAACAATATTATGACCATAGACAGGCTGTTCAGTCTCACTGATGATATTTCCTATTATGTTTAGATTTGCTTGATCGGTATCGGAATCCTTTATTACATATTTGACATCGATATTGGTCAACACCTTTTTTATGCTTTCCTATCATATGGTCTGATAGAACATCTTTCCTCTCAAATATCTGAGGACACATTGGACACTTGAAAGTTTTTGCAGTAGGAGTCTTACAAACTTTCAAGTGTCTCTTGTATGTAGCTTTATATGTGTACTGCAATTTACATTTCTCACACTTGTAAGGCTTATATCCCATATGCGTGTGCATGTGACCAAGAAAGTGGGCGTTATCGACAAACTTTTTGTTGCAGATGTGGCATTCCCGTCTCTTCTTGTCATTATCAGAGTGACTAATTTCATGACGTCTGTGACCACTTTTAGTTTTAATATTTTTTCCACAAAAACAGCAAATATATCCCGGCTGATCATTGGTGTTGTTTAAAGCTGTAATAGCAGATGAGCTGTCATGAAATGATTCATCTTCTGCCTCAATTTTCATGTGTTTTGTCATCTGAAATAATTAAAAAAGATTTTTTTGGAAGTTGTTATTAAGGTTAAACATTATGGCATGTATGGTTAATATATTCTTGAGGAATCATAATATTTTAACCAAGTTAAGTTTAGACCAATTAAATCTGCCCACCCCACCCTCCCAAAAAACAATAACCATAGAAATTCAAATTTCCTAAGCTTACAGGATGACCATTTGATATTCTCAGCAGCCAGAAGGATTTTTTTTATTAATTTTTTTTTAATCTGTTAATTGCTATTCATGTTTTTTTCCCAGCGGCTTTGTGCATAAATCTATTTTGAAATTCACTTTAGTACACATTTTTAAACTACCCTGCATTCTATGTTGCAGAATATCCATTTTTGACCTGTCTGTACAAAGTACTTTATTTTCAGTTTTGACAAGGCTGAAGTGATCATGCAATTTATTAATGAAATGTTATACTTCAAGTTACCATATGATGTGTATTGGAATTACCATACTTGTTAAAAAAGCCTTTCTTTTTTGAAAATTTAAAATAAGTAATCCATTGAGTGTGTAGGAATCAGCTATAAAAATAAACTCAACTACAAATACAGAATCATGAACAAAGAAAGATAACTCCCAACTCAAATTTATAATTTGCCTATCTAATTACAATATAATGATCTATAATGTTTTATTCTAAATTCACCAACTAGCAAAATAAAAGCAATCTTTACCCTTCAGTGCTCAGAGTGAGGGTTAGGCGCCTGCCAACATGTTTAACACAATCACACTATGATTCCAAATATTAACATCATCTAACAGTATAGGATTCTCCAATTATGCTGTTCAAAATGTTGGTTTAACAATTCAATGGTTTAATAGCCTAACATTTTAACAAACAATTAAGTGGCCTCTGTTGAGGAAGGGTCTAAGTACAAAATGTAGTTGATCTACAGTGATCGATAGCCTGTTAAAATTGATGATGTTAGGAATCTGCTTCAGCAAGATGTGTTCAATTTTGAACTTCATTAACTAAGATTGACAGTTTTCCTGCCAAAGGTTGGGTTCTTTTAAAGCTCCATCCACCAAAAAACCCTGACAGTCATGATCATATAGACAAGTAAGGTAGATATCTAAACTGTTGTATAAAAAATAAGAAGATGTGGTATGATTGCCAATGAGACAACTCTCCACCAGAGACCAAATGATGTAGAATTGTGCAACTGTAGGTCACCGTTTGGCCTTCAACAATGAGCAAAATCCATACCACATAACAAGCTATAAAAGGCCCCAAATTGACAAATGTTAGAAAATTCAAACAGGAAAACTAATGGCATGATTTATGTACAAAACAATAAATGAAAAACAAATATGATACACAGCAAATAACGACAACCACTGATGACATCACAACTATTACTTGTTTAAGTTGTAACATAAACATATATATATATTTCTCTAATTCTTCGTCAATTTATCCCTTCTCTGCACCCATTGTATAAACAATCTTTAATCAACGTGTGGTACGTTTGATCTCAGTTCTTCATTGGTTAAAATCCGATTATGACGTCGAATTTTCTTGCTTTCCCCTGAATTTCCTATTGTGACGGCATGAAAAAAGGCGACCATGCCTGATGACGTCACATAGAAAGAACACATCTTTTTGCAGATCATTCGAAAAGAAGGAATAAATTTGCCTGCGTATTGTTTGAAAATCATTAGAGAAACAGATTCCACCACCAAATCTCCAGTCAAGGATATAACTCTATAGGGTTATTAGAGAAAAATAACATACGCTTGTTATTGTGGACAAAAAAATCAAAGAACTGTGATAACATATGTATGTTACATGTTTTTAAGGGACAATATACATCATTAGTTTTGTTAAAATGTATACAAGTTCTATTGATATTGCTACTGTCTTTATGTATACTTAACTATAGAAAGATATATAACAGTTCATATTTTGCCAATCATGCATATCACACCTATGTTATTACAGAACAAATATGCCTGCAATAACTAAAGGGTGTTATTATAGCTTCTCTACATCACTTCAAAGCATTTGATCAGACATAGATCATGCTCAATTACAATGTATTTTAATTTATTGTAAGAAGTAATGATCAGAGCATGTAATGTGGTTCTGCGCAAGCTTCCCAGTAATTCCCAAGTGTCTCATTTAATAAGTTACATGCCTTTAATAACTAAGCCTTGTTATTACAGCTAAGTTAATCACTTAAAAGCCTTGTCTCATTGATTTACCATGGTTAATGAAAAATGTATTAATCTAAATTTATAGTTAGTTATCAAGGCTATGCATTTAGTTTCTGCGCAAAGTTTCAAGAGTTTCCTAGAGCCCACTAAAAATAAAAATATTTTTGATTTATTTTACAAATAACAAACATATGTTATTACAGATTTAGTAAATTTAAGGATTAAAGAGTAGACAACTCATAAAAGTATCTGTAATAACACATGCAAGTTATTTTCTGTAATAACCCTATAGAGTAATATCCCTGACTGATCTCGTGTAATATGATATTTATCCACTCTCGACAGTTAAATTTTAAATATTTAAAACACTCAGCAAGCCTTGCGTTTTAAATTTGAAAATTTAACTGTCTCGAGTGGATAAATATCGTATCACACTCAATGCAGTGGTAGAATCTATATATGTATCCTTCATCATAACTGTTTAACATCTTTTTAATTGATTACTGATGTTTTTTTCTCAATTTAATTATTTATCACCTGATCACTAATGTGGATTTACTCAAAAATTTAAATTGCTTATCATGCTTATATCACTCTTTCAAATAGTCTGTCTTTGGTTATAAAAATATATTTCAATAGCACAGATTTTGACAGTGAGACTTATATGTCTTATATATTTCTTAAATTGTATTTCCTGTGCCCAGGTGGCAAGGCTAACTGGAACTGTCAGCGAACTCACAAAAGGGTAACCCCAGTCCTGAAAATTTGAGTATCTCCCATTTTAAAAGTTTGATCAGGATTTTTTCCTTTCTAAGATTGTGTTCTAGTCATAACAGTACATCAACTACATGATACGGGTTATGTTCTTCTCATATATATTATGATGGTATGATACTAAACCCCTAATGGGAGGGATTGTGCTTGATATTCATATGATGAAGACATAATCTTTGAATCAGTTTAATTGAGGTCTGGAGCTGGCATGTCAGTAACTGCTAGTAGTCCTTTGTTAATTTATGTATCATTGCCATTTTGCTTAGTATCTTTTGTTGCCTATTTTGACATCAGACTCAGATCTTGCTAATATAAAAAAAGAAGATGTGGTATGATTGCCAATGAGACAACTCTCCACAAGTGACCAAATGACACAGAAATTTAAAACAACTATAGGTCACCGTACGGCCTTCAACAATGAGCAAAGCCCATACCACACAGTCAGCTATAATAAAGGCTAAACATGTTTAACCCTGCCGCATTTTGGCGCCTGTCCCAAGTCAGGTCCCTCTGCCCTTTGTTAGTCTCTAATTTTCATTGGTGGCCTTCGGCTGTTTACTGCTCTTTGGTCGGGTTGTTGTCTCTTTAACCATGTTAACACATTCCCCATTTCCCATTTCAATCGAAACTTTAAGTTGTCAAAACACAGCCACTCTATTCAGTCAGGGGTACTACTTGTACAAGTAATCTTTATTTACTTGATGTAAATAATAATATACATGTACTTGTATAAGTAAATTTGTTATGTTCATTTCTTCTTATAATGTTTGAATAATCTCCCCTTAATTTTCTGAAAAATTTACTTGTACAAGTAATTTTTGTTTAAAATCCCTAAAATTCTCAAGTTTTGAGATGTAAAAACATGCCTTTAACAATTCTTCTCAGGTTCGTTCATAATTTTTGATTAGAGTTCAATGTTTCATCTCATTAATTCAACAAAGAAACTAATTGCAAAAAGAGCTTAATTGCACAAGGCCTTCAAAAATTGCCTCTTGGGGGCTTGTAAATGACCAGTGTTCTGAAGATAACAGACAAATGAGATTTTCATTGTCCATGAAATTGCACTTAAATGATTAGTAAAGACATCTGCAAAGGACAGACAATTAAAAATTCTATTAGAGCAAAGAAGTCCTGAGAAATTCAAGAAAAGCAGATAGTATGACTTTTTTACTTGTATAAGTAAAATATACAAGTAAAAAAATCTGAATGTCTAAGGGACAAATGAAGGGACATATTAACTTAGCCAATAAAATAATTTACCTATACAAGTAAATAAAATACACTTGTATCAGTATCTTACAAATTTACTTTTACAAGTATATTAATATTTACTTCTTCAAGAAAATAAAAATTACTTGTACAAGTAGTACCCCTGACTTCTATTTAAGTGACAATACACATACAAGGTTCATACTTATGACTAAAAACTTTTGATGGGGGAGGAACTTTATGGTAACTGTTGGTATCATATACAGATGTGTATAATTAAGTACTTTACCTCTTCATCACATGGCACAACTGGATACTTGTCTGGACAAATAGTCCTGTGTATCTCTTTTAGACGTTTGTTGTATTCACTGAGGGAATCAAATGGTGGTGCAGATTTGGGGCATCTTTGGCACTGTCTACTATAGCTATCTTTCTTTTCACATGAATTGTGCATACCCTCCTTAAATTCGTCTCCTCTTTCATCAGAACCAACAGGGACATAGTTTGTGTCTTCAGTTTCACAATCTTGAGTGCCAGAATTAGAAGTTTCTTTAAATGATTTGTTTTTATCTTCACTATGATCATGAATCTGTCTTAGAGTTTTTCTCGTTTTAATTCTACCATTTTTGCACTTTCTTTTACTTCCAGATCGCCTTTTAGTCAAAATTTTTTGTCTTATCATTGCTTTTACTAGTTTTGCCTGATCCTCATGTAAGAGGACGTTATTTAACTGTTGTGTTTGGTTACTTTCTGAGTTTGTACTATGATCTGATAAATGTAAGATACATGTATCGCTTTGTGATAACAACTGCAACCCAGATTCAGAAGTTTTATAAGCAGCAATAGGATACACACTTTCTAGTGTTTCATTTGATAAACTCGTCTTGAATGACAGTCCTGTATTGTCAATTGCATGCAAGTCTAAATTTTCTGGAAGTTTCACATTCTGATCACCAGAACAACTTTCAGATGTCGTATCCCCAATAGAAAACATGGATTTTTTGTGGGATGATGTCTCATGTTTGATGCTTTCAACCTGAACTGGTAGTTTACAAGATTCAGTTTGTTCTGATATATCTACACTTTCACAATCAGAATCATCCGTGCATTCCTTCTTTATATCTAAAACTGAAATAGGTATGTTTGCACTACAACAATGTTCAAGTGACGTAACAGGCATAACACATGTGTCATGTGACAACAAATAACCATCAAATCTATCATAATTACTACGATTCTTATCAATCATGTCGATCTGTTGTCTTATTGCCTGACATGCCGTTTTAAAATTTAAATCATCACATAAAAGGAATAAATCATTAACATGTTTGTATTCTATATCAATTTTCCCTGTATACACCAAAGTAACTAAAGCTTCAACCATTTCAGGCGAAAATTTGGTACAATCAATTCTTTCTTTTTTCTTTTCTAATTTTTGTAGTTCTGTGTAATATGAATTTAAATTGGCACACATAAATTGATTGGCTATCAACACAAGTCTGTGGACATAAATTTCCCCTCTGTTAGATTCTAATGCCACATCACATATAACATTCTTCTTTTGAAGTTCATATAGTGAATGCAGTAATTGGTTTTGGTAGTGATGAATTTCTATTTTCATGATGGGTTCCATAAGCATGTTCATGTCACTCCAATTAACATATTACCTGAAATAAGAAAATATGTGTCCATTAAGAAAAGAATCCTTTTAATTTTGAGTTGTTCAATATGTTCAACAAAGTACTGTAAATTCAGAAATTATTGCGATTTTGTCATTTGAGACTAAAATGTGATTTTAATTTTTGCGATATTGAGAAAAATCTTGTTTAATTCATATAAAAAATTTCAAAATGCGAGTTTAAATCATTGCGAATATAACCTTGTCACATTTTTCGCAATAATAAAAACATCGCAATAATTTCTGAATTTACAGTATTTAATTTTTTAATTCTATCAACAAAGATTTATTTGAATCTGGAATAATTTTGAATTTTGAAAAATTGATAAGAAATGTATCATAGAACTAACCCAATTCAGGAGGATTAGCCATGCTTGCATAGCTAAGGTTTTGGTTGCTTTCACTGATATTTTAGTACATTGTAGTACTTAAGAACTAACTGACCCCACTTAGACATGCATGTATGGATAACCCTCCTTAATTGGGTTTAAGTTTTCATCATACATTTCTTATTAATTTTCCAGAATTCAAAATGATTCCAGATTCAAATAATTCCTTGTTTTCCTGTAAGTTTTATTTCAAGGCTTTATATTAGATGTTGTTTTTCTGTTTTATTTCAAGGCATTATATTAGAGATGTTTGTAGATAGAATTAAAATGAAGATCTATCAAAAAGTGAAAGATAAAACCATACCTATTATATGTATGTATTACTGATAATCATTTATTTCTGTAGTTTCATATTTATGTGGATTGAGGAAAAATTGTATTTTGTGGATATTTGATTTCATGATGATAAGCATGATAAGTATGTATAGAAAATTTATACTTTGTTCTACATTCCAATTTGTTGTTTATCTACACCTTCAACAGTCAGGGGTAACAATGGGTAATACAAGTCATTCTTATTTACTTGAAGATGTAAGTAATATTTACTTGTATAAGTAAATTTGTAAGATTTTTATTCTATTTTCAAGGTTTGAATTATCTCCCATTAATCTTCTCCGAAAATTTACTTATACAAGTAAATTTTTTTTACAATCCCTTTTAATTCTCAAGTTTTGGGGGGTCAAAACATATCTAAACATAATTTTTCTGGTTTGCTCATTAATTTATAATTAAGAGTTCAACCTTTTATCGCAAGAACTAAGCAAAGAAATCCATTGCACAAAGATGTTAAGTAACTGTGCAAAGCCTTCAAAAATTGCTCCCTGGTTGTAAATGAGCAGTATTTGAAGATAACAGACATTGAATGGGATTTTCATTGTCCATGACATTATACTTTTTATGGATTTTTTAGACAACTATTAATGACAGACAACTAAACACACTATTTGAGTAATGTAGTCAAGAAAAATTCAAGAGTAGAAGAAATAAGACTTTTTTACTTATATAAGTAAAAAAAAAATTTGAATGTCTAAGGGATATAAGTCTCTACCTCCAAATTAATTTACCTGTACCAGTAAATAAAAAACACTGGTATAAGTATTACCCCTGACTGTTCAAAATCATTGACAATGACTAAGGTACCCCACAATTAACATGATTAATAATGATTTTTCAAATTCAGATGATGGAAACTGTCAATTGTTAGTTAATTAGGAGATAACTGTATTGTATTTTTAGCTCCGACACATCAATTGGTGATTTGATGGTCGCAAAGTAAGTTTACTGGAGGTGCATATGCGGAGACAGTAAATGGGTATTTGCAACCATCAAATCACCAATTGTATGCCGTCGGAGCTTAAAATACAATATTGTTATCTCCATTCTATTAAAACTGACAGAAAACCATGTCAAATCATACATTTAAAATCTGTCATACATTGTCTGCGCTTGCGCGTACGTTTTCATAGCATCCATTGTGAATTGATGCCATGAAAATTGGTGACTTTATTCAATCAAAATGAACGTTACAAACGATGTTGCATTAGAATTGGAGTTATCATGGTTATAATCCTTCAGTGACTATCTTTGCCTGTTTTATTTTTTTTTGCATTTGCAAGGTTTTCTGCTCAGATACTACAATGTACTTAGAGCCAATTCAAAGCAAACTGGACCTGATCTATCAATGGTTTGTCTTAAATTTCAGATAAAATGGGATATGCCTCAATGTTCAATTTTGCTGTTTAAAGTCTTAATAGTTGGATAATCAACAATAGTTCTAATTATGGGCAGAATGCTTAAGTTGGTAAACATGTCTTCAAATGGTAATTGCTCATATGAAATGTATGAGGGGTCAATTGATGGTTTCAGTCATACTGTCATTTTTGTGGATCTTATTTTGCTGATAATTTTTTTTTTTAATAACATTTCTGTTTATCTAGCTATTGTATAGTTTTCAAGATAATGGACAGACGATAAAATTGGCTAAAATTCTTATTTTTTGCAAAAAATATCTATACATGCTATAAGGAGTCAACTGTTGGTTTCAGTCATCTATATATTTTTGTAAGAGTCATATTATCACAATTTGTTCTTAAGATAACTTATTTAATCTGGGCTACTTCAATTTCAAGTCCTCAGCCAGTTAATTTTATATTGAAATTGTTATGCACTATGCAGTCAAGAATTATATGTGAGAATGCTTACAGGACCATAAGGAAGGATGGACAGAAGCTAGGTATTTTTATATCCCCCGTGCCACTAATGTATTCAAACAGCAAAGGTATATAATTTTTTTAATTATTTAAAAAAATTTGGGGGTTGAATTTTATTTTGTTTAGTACATCTTTAAAAATGAATGTGGTCAAAGAACTGAAAAATTTGAAATTGGACATTTACCGTCCAATATCCAAAATCTAAGTACATTGTTAGAATCAGCATATCAAAGAACCCCAAGAATTCAATTTTTGATGAAATCAAACAAAAGTTTAATTTAGGACCCTTTGGGCCTCAATGTGGACTAATTTGATAAAGGAGCCCACAATCCAAAATCTCTAAATACATGGTTAGAGTCAGCATTTCAAAGAACCCCATAAATTCAATTTTTGTTGAATCAAACAAAGTTTAATTTTGGACTACGATTTGGACCAACTTGAAAACTGGGCCCAAAAATCTAATATTTAAATACAGGTTTAGATTCAGCATTTGAAAGTACCCTATATATATTTAATTTATGTTGAAATGAAACACAGTTTAATATTATCCATATAATTTTCTGTTCAAAGGGAAATAACTCAAACTGAATAAATAATGAACACATAGTTCTCTAAAATTAGATATGATTTAACCACTACAAAATAGTTCTCTAAAATTAGATATGATGTTATATATATCTATTTTCAAATTATAATCAATAAAATTAGATATGATTTAACTACTAACATTGTATCAAAGAACCCCAAGAATTCAATTTTTGATGAAATTAAACCAAAATATATGTTTATTAATTGACAATTTAAGCTTAGTTTTTAAAGTTCACTTCATCAAAAAATATATATATATATATATATATATATATAGCATTCAGAAAATTAGTTTATACAGAACAAACAAACAAACCTACCACAAAATTCCTCAAACATTTTACCAAAGAAAAGAAAAACAATCGAAAATGTCATTTATCATTAATACAATGTCTTTTAAAAATCTATAAAACTTATCTATAAGTGTAATCAAACTTTATATGTATAATTAACCATTTCTGTTCAAAGGGAAAACTCAATCACATAAAAATTACCACTTTTAACTATTGGAAAGGGAAATAACTCAAAAACCAGAAAAGCTAAAATTGTGAAAATTGAACTTGACCTTCATTTAGTCACAGGAAACAACATATCTAAATTTGAAAAAACTTCGTCAAAGGGTTTTCATGTTAATGAGCGTACACTGTTTGGCAGCCACCTGCCCACATGGCCGCCGTACATCCCCAAATCAATAACCGATTTTCCTTCCTTCGAAAATCCAGTTAAAAATCATCACATGTTATTAAGCAGTTAGAATACATAAGTTAATTATTTGTAGTTTTCTCAACATTCTATGACTGATGTTTTGATTTGTTTTCTTTTCAATTAATTAATTCATAACTTACATCAATTAAATAATTAACATGTTTGATGTTTGAACCTCTATACAGGTAGTTATTGGTGGTTTTTCTTCAAAAACTTAAATAAAAAACAATATTGGCTTCAGTTTTACAGTGAACACAAATAGTGAAGGTATATGTTTAAATATAGAAAAGAAAATTTATCTTATCTACTGTATTAAAATGCACATGTACCAGGCTCTCTAATATCATTTTCTACAGCGAAAAATTGGGTATTAACCTAAATATATGTAAAATTTAGGCAAAAATAAATTAAAAAATTTACTGAAAAAAACAGCTCAAATTAAATTTTCAAAATGATTGGGAGAAAATGCGAGATTTTTATTTACAGAATCAAGGCAAATTGGACACTTATTTTTCATTCAAGAGGTCATTTGACTATGAAAATTATTTAGATTTAAAGCACCCCCAAAAACATTTGTTAACAAAATACAGACTCAGCAATCACTGTTTAAGAATAGAAACTGGCAGACATGAACGTTTTATCAATGTATGTGGTAAATATGAAATATTACCTCGACATGAGAGGATATGTTTATATTGTAATTCAAATTCTATTGAAAATGAAATGCACTTTCTTCTGGAATGCCCTCTTTACAATAACCTCAGAAGAGATATGACTGATTATATCAAAAAATACCCCAGTTTAGTTAATTTAAACAGAAATGATCTTTTTACATGGATCATGAGTAATGAAGAAAGCAGAACTTTTTTTTATCTTTTTTTTTGTGCATACCTTGATAAAGGCCTGCAACTTAGAAAATCAGAAAATTAGTTAAATAGATAGCAAAATTATCTCCCCTTGACCACTGACCTTTTCCTTGTGCATTTGAACTATTATTTTATGTTTCTTTAATCACTCTGTAATGTTTATGTCATGTTGTTATTAATGTTATGCTCTTAATGGGCCCTTTAATTTGGAAAAATAAAATATTAAAATTGAGAATGGAAATGGGGAATGTGTCAAAGAGACAACAACCCGACCATAGAGCAGACAACAGCCGAAGGCCACCAATGGGTCTTCAATGCAGCGAGAAACTCCCGCACCCGTAGGCGTCCTTCAGCTGGCCCCTAAACAAATATGTATACTAGTTCAGTGATAATGGACGTCATACTAAACTCCACATTATACACAAGAAACTAAAATTAAAAATGATACAAGACTAACAAAGGCCAGAGGCTCCTGACTTGGGACAGGCGCAAAAATGCGGCGGGGTTAAACATGTTTTTTGAGATCTCAACCCTCCCCCTATACCTGTATTGTATTGTATAGTATTCATGAAGTTGCTACAGTGTTTGAATGACGAATCAGCAATTAAGGTCGTTACCAGGAAAAGAAATTGATAATAAACAATAATTCTGGCCATTCCTGTCCCCTTCTTTATTTCAATATTTTTGTTTAACCCTCTTGCTGCCGAGTTTTTTTTATTGCTTTGTCGCGCCAAAAGCATCTTGACGTTTCATATCTGTGACGTTGCAAAACTTGTGCCTCTCTGTAGAACAGCGCTTTCCCGCCGTCCATAATTTTTCCCGCGTCAATGTAGCCGTAATTATGAAAAGCGATGTAAAAGTAATTTTATGAAAACTATTGCTCTAAGATTGTTATAAACGATGTTTTTAATACAATATTATTTAAAAATAACCTTGCAATAAAGTTTTTTTTTATCTTTCTTGTCTTTAAAAAAATGCAAATAATATACCCATTGCTACTAGCTTTATAAGCGCTTTTGTTTTATCTTTGTCAAGTGAAATGCATAACTGATTCTTAACCACCTCTAAAATATTAAAATATATTTATACTTGTTATCCGATTAGCTTAGTATAACTTGTTATAATTGATAAATACAGTAAAAAAAATCTCTCAAATAATTATATAAACAAAACAACGGCCCCCAATAAAAATTAAAATAAAAACAATGCGTGTACAAATAAAAATAAATAAAAACTCCGAGCAGCCGATTCTATGAACTACTTCTTGTTGTAAAGTATCAAACGTGTCAGAATTAAATTTTCATTCCAATAGATATAGGAAGACGTGGTATGAGTGCCAATGAGACAACTCTCCATCCAAGTTACAATTTATAAAAGTAAACCATTATAGGTCAAGGTACGGCCTTCAACACGGAGCATTGTTTCGGTAGGCGAGAAAATAATTTTTATAGACGTTATTATCCATATTCATTTTGTTTATTTTTTAATCATGTTTATTATTATTTTGTTGAACACTTATTGCTCAAAATTTTAGAGCAATGTTTGAAAATACGAATTAAAAAAAACCCCAGAAAAGCGAGGGAAAAAAATCTCTAAAATTAATTTCTATTGTCTACAAATGAACCTGAATCAATAATAATTCCTTTTCATTTTCTATGATGAAGTACACACTGTAATTGGCATACACGAAATATCTTTTAAAATCTGTTGATTGATAAATTGTTCTCTTCTCAACTTTCAGTGGCAAGTGTTTCATGCAATATTAAGGACGTCTGAAATTTAATGTACAAAAAATCTGTTGCTCAGTGGGTCCTACAAAGTAAAAGATCTGTGATGAATGGCTGAAAATTGAGGTTGCCACTGGGAAATGATGATATGTAGGATAGGAAAAGAAATCATTGGGTCACCTACTAATTTAACACCCCCATTTCGAATGAAAATAAATATTTTTAGATTAGTGCTTCAATGATGAAACGGGTATAAAATGTATTGAAATATCGTATGGCAATACAAGTATATTGGGTAACATTTGTGTACTTTTACAAAAAAAATCTTCACTGAGAATTCAATCGCGGCATTTGAGCCCTAAAGAAATTTTCCAGTTCTCTTAAATAAAGCGTGTATTGTGAATATTAATATTTTGCGTAATCAAGTATAACAGTTACCTTTTCTATGATTATTTATTAGGAATGCGATTATTATATGAGATATTCTGATTGAAAGATGTATGAAAAAAACGTTTAACAAATTTCTCGAAAGTATGCAACATTTTACATGAAAATGACGAACTAGTAAACACGTTAAATAAGTTGGTATTTTAGTACTAACAAGCTTATGATCCTGTATCAATTTTTGACATCCGTCTTAAGTATACAAATAATGCATTTTATTCAGTTTGCTTCATTCCCGCCAAAATCGTCCTTTTGGCGCCGTCTTTTGACGTTGTCAGTGCCCCTCAGTTTTGTGACGTTACCATGGACCTTTGACGTTCTACACAATCAACAAGATTTGTGTGTAGAAGCCATAAATGTCCCTTTGGCAGCAAGAGGGTTAAAATATTGCAAAAGATATATATTCAACATATTTAACATGGGTAGTGATGGTTGCCAAAATGACTACTTCGGGTGCCGATTTAACCAGGTGTCGAAGTGATTAGGTGCCGAATTGACTATACTGGGTGCCAATTTGACAAGGTGCCAATTTAACCAGGTGCCAAAGTGACTAGAATTCGTGTGTGTTGTACTGTAGTGCTTTTTTTTTGTTTTTAATAAAGGCCCTTTAATAAACATGCTTGTTTTAAATGTTCTGTTTGAATAAATAAGACGATATAAAAGCTCAATCATACTGACAATAGAGATTATGTTTTCTGTATTCTAATATTCGTCTATAAATAAAGCTTTTGAACTTTGAACTTGAAAGCATTGTTTTACAAAGACAAGTCAAATGCCTGTGCGCTTTTCCTGTTTTCCTTATACAGCTGTTATAATATTTTCCTAATGGACTTCTACTGATCTGCATTGAAAAGTTGATAAATTTGTAGGCCCCCCTTTGACAATTTGATGCTTTGATTTTATTATACCTTTTATATATGACACATGGTAAGTGTAAACGAGCAAATAATTTCTTTATATTTTTACAGGTACGAGACCGTAGAGGGTTTACTTTTTGTTCAAAATAAAGCATGTTTATACACAGGTTTTCCCTCGTGGGGATTGTATAAGATACAACTAGTTACTAAAATATATCTTTAAATAACAATATATCCTAACTCACCTTAAATGTTAACATATATATCAGAAGTCCATTACCAGACTAGTAATGGACTTCTGTGTATATGTATATAACTACTATATCACTAGCCTGTCAACGCAAAGGTTGTGAGTTCGAATACCGAACGTGGCCGGATCCAGCCATTTTTAAAAGGCACTGGCTACGGTAACATTGAAATGTAAAAATAATAAAAAAGTTATTGTTACATTAGAGACTAATTGTTGAAATGCACGGTTGGGTAAGGAATTGATTAATTACGAATGCAACAATAATATAATGTCTACGGTTACGTTATGTTAATGTTATGTTAAATTTATCAAACTTTAACCTTCTATAGTTTTGTTACTTAATTCTTCGATATGTACTTAATAATAATAGTAATAATACAAATATTATTATTATTATTATTATTATTATTATTATTATTATTATTATTATTATTATTATTATTATTATTATTATTATTATTCAAATAGTGTTTAAATAGTTTTAAGTATTAATTATCATAGTTTAATGTTCTTCAAGATACTACTACAGTTTAGTAGTGTCAAAGGCGAAAAATATAGTTCAATGGTTCGATGTTAAGAAAAATATTTTTCACCTGAAGCACGGCAGACATTGAAAGTGTCTATAACTTCAAAAAGGGATATTTCAGAGTGGAATTGTAAAGAGAGTAAAACTGACGTGCACATTGCTGCATCACTCGTTTGTGATGGCTGCCGGCAGAGTGGTTTCACCAAAAAAAGCGTCGGACAGAATGATGCTCCCAAAACAACATACTGGATATGTAGAAACTGCCATTGTAAATAAAAATTTTAAAAAAATTGTATGCAAAATTGTAAAATTCAAATTAAAGTTTTCAAGTTTTATTTGAATACATATTACTAGTCCCAGCATACAATGAAGTGCATTAACGCAAATATTATTGTTACATTCGTAATTAATCGGTTCCTTACTCAACCCTGCATTCCGGCAATTAGTCTCCAATGTAACAATAACTTTTTTATTATTGTTACATTTCAATGTAACCGTAGCCAGTGCCTTTTTAAAAACAGGGGTGGGGGTTCCAACCTTATGTCCCCATTCAAAAGCATTGATCGTACAATAAAAGGGGGGCTCGAAATATGGAAATATGGAGTTGGCCTTAATCACTTTTTCGCCAAGTTATGTGATTTTCAAAAGTGAGTTCTGAGTCAATTAGGACTCCTATATATTTTCCCTCTTGAACCTTTGCTATTGAAAGATTAAGTAGACTGTAATTTGTTGAGTGGTCAGTGCTATTTGATTTCTTACATATTTTCATGTATTTACATTTTTCAGGGTAAAATTTTAGTAGCCATTTGTCACTCCATGCTTCCATCTTGTACATGATAGGTCTTCTTGTATTGTTTTATGATATTTTAGTGTTTAGAAGTATTGCGTTTAATACTTTCACTTATTGAGAAGGGTACAATAACAGGAGAAAATGTGAATTTTTCAGTTATAAAAACTGCTTTAAAGCATACAGCATGCAAGATAGTTATCTTTATACATATTTATTCAAAAGAACTTGAAATGAATTGGTTGGAAAACTTGTTTTGTCATGTCTGGGGGCTTTTAAAGCTCATTATAGGGTATGGGGTTTGCTCATGTTGAAGGCTTGCGGTGAACTATAGTCACTGTTGCTTAATGCATTCACGTTCTTTGGTCTCTGTTGAATAGTAAGTTGTCTCAATGAAAAGTCGACTCCATGATGTACAATTCTCGGTTCCTTTGGTATGAATTGGCAAATTTGCTAAGATCAACTGGTGTAAATTACAATAAATAAACAATCATCGTCGTTAATTATTGTCAATCATACTACATCTTTTTGATTTTGTTAAGTATAAAACTTTCAGGCAGTCAATGCATCATAATGAAAAAGGTAGCAGTATCTGAGCGTTATACTAAATGACTGAACACGAAATACTGAAGATCGTATTCCCAGTCATTTAGATGGTTTTTTTGTTGTTGCTGTAATTGAAAAAAAATATTTTAGTGATCTGTTGCTGTCACAACATTTGAAGATTATAGATCAGAAATTTTACTTGTTGTGCGTTGGTTTCTTTAAAACATTATGGTACATAACTTTATTTTTAGTGGTCCTGTCAGAATATAATCTTTGCAGAGCCATTCTATGTGGACTAACTTCCGGCAAATATCCAAACATTTTACATTTTTCTGTTTTTTGTTGAGTTTATTTTCATATATACTTCTGGGTATAACGATTTAAGTTATAAACATAAGCAGCCGAGGTTCCCCAATAACCCATGGCCTTTGTAAGGCGTGTCAAAGTGTATGCAAACTGCGATTTTTTTCTGAGAACGTGAAAAATGTCAGATTAGACTGAAGTACTGAAGCAAGGCACCATTTTTTTTACATATATTTATAGATAGCATGACAATCGAACATTTGCAATATGTCTAAATAATATCACAAATTGGGTTAACACAAGTGGATCTGTACTCCCATGTGGTGAATATCATTCCCACCACAAATGACCATTTAAGGTTCATCATAAGAAATGGACAAACTAACTGTTTACACCTCAAAAACTTAGTCTACAACTCTGATTGATAATCCCTTTTTGGATTCTGAGTAGAAGGAGTCACAGCAAAAAATTAAAATAGCCTTTCAAGACGTCATAATTATTTGGACTAGGGATTGAGATGAGGAAGTTGGCAAAAATTTTCCAGAATAGACTTGATTATGGCTTCAGATGAGGGATTCTGAGGCTGCCAAATCAGAAAATTGCTCCAAACTCAGAATCCCAAAAGGGATTATTTCTTGAGTACAGACTTACCTGTGCAGTTGGAAAGTTTTAAGGTCTAGTTTCCACTAGATATTTAAAAGTTATATGCATTTTGTGTTTCAGAAAGATAAAATCTTTTTTAGATTTTGATTAGCAATTTTTTTGTTCCCGCTGTATGTGTCAAAACATGAAAAATAAACAAACACGTGAATTACATCTGTTATTGTCCACTCAGTTACACCCTTTAAACATTGTTAAAAGAGAGGCGAATTCGAAGGACTACCAATTGGAAACCAAAGGGACATATTCAAACTCATAAATTGAAAATAAACTGACAGTCAGGGGTAATACTGATACAAGTCATTTTTATTTACTTGAAGATGTAAGTAATATATTTACTTGTATAAGTAAATTTGTTAGATTTTATTTTATTTTCAAGCTTTGAATTATCTCCCCTTAATCTTCTCCAAAAATTTAATTACTTATAAATACAAGAATTTTTTTTTACAACCCCTTAAATTCTCAAGTTTTGGAAGGTCAAAACATACCTAAATAGAATTTTTCTGGTTTGTTAATTAGTTTTAAATTAGAGTTCAACCTTTTTTCTCAAGAACTAAGCAAAGAAACCCATTGCGCAAAGATGTTAAGTAACTGTGCAAGGCCTTCAAAAATTGCTCCCTGAAGGCTTGTAAATGAGCAGTATTTTTGAAGATAACACACAAATGAGATTTTCATTGTCCATGAAATTAAATTTAAATGAATAGTAAAGACAACTATTGATGACAGACAATTAAACACTCTATTAGAGCAATGTAGTCAAGAGAAATTCAAGAGTAGAAGAAAATATATAACTCTTAACCTCCAAAAATTTTTACCTGTACAAGTAGATAAAAAACACTTGTATAAGTAGTACCCCTGACTGATTGACAACGCCATGGCTAAAAAAGAAAAAGACAAACAACAGAACACAAAACACAACATAGAAAACCAAAGACTGAGCAACACGAACCCCACCAAAACCTGGGGCTGATCTCAGTGCTCCGGAAGGATAAGCAGATCCTGCTCAACATGTGGCACCGTTTAAATCATCTAATGTAGTGTAGATAAAGATTTTATCTTTCTGAAACAAAAAATGATAATGAACATTAGCATAATGAATGGAATGTTTTTTTTTTCTTTTCTACCTTAATATGTATTAATATTAAGCGCAGAGATTCCCAGGTGGTCCTAATGATCATGTTGAAGAAAATCTGTTGGTCCTCACTATTATTTCTATTGCAAAATACCAAACTCTGCTAGCGGTTAAAAAAAACCATATTTCACCTTTATCATGTTTATACATTGTAGATGTGATTGAACATGATGAAAGGAGATGTGGGGTAAACATCAATGAGACAAAAATAACAAAATGACATAAATTCTTAAACAATAGACAGGTGTCTGTACAATATGTCCCTTACAATAATTGAAGGTAGAATGACGTAAAAACTTACAAGTCATTTATGTATCCCTTCACAAATAAGAATACAACCTACCATAGCAGCGCTAGCTAGTATACATGATTCAACCAGTAATCAACTCTTTCTGTGTTTTCTAGGATGATATAAATAAGAAGGATGATGACAAGTAAAGAGCCTAAGTGTGTAGTGTCTTCATACAGAGATAGCATTATAAATTCATTATACCAACTTCAGCGTAAGAACTGTTTTTGTGATGTAGAAATTACAACAAACAGTAATACAGTTTATGTACATAAAGTCATATTAGCCGTTTGTGAAAGTCCTGCACTTCATGAGTCGGTAAATGTAGCAGACAAAGTTTCATTTTTCGGAAAAACCAATATTAACTGCAGCGATTACTCGAAAGAAGTTGTTGAGTCACTTGTAAGGTATTTATATACAGGGGAGATAAAAGTGGAAGAAAGAAATGTTAAAGCATTTACCAAGCTCTGTCAATCATTCCAACTGGACAAAGCTGTTGATGCATTTGTTAGTCATATGATACAACAGAACATTTTAAATAGTGCAAGACAAGATGGCAGCCAGTTATCTGTTTCCATGGGTACATGTGATAATTTGTCAACATTGTCAGATGCAGCAGATATGGTCTCATCAGGAACATCTCTCGATCTTTCAATGAAATCTAATAAATCTTTCACAACATTGAAAGCATCAGAATGTGAGGAAAAGGAATTGATAATAGAACATACAGGGAATGAAAAACCATGTGATCAAAGTATGCAGGATTCACCCCCTTGTTTTGAAGATGATGATGATGAAAATACAGTAGATTTAACAGAATATGATACCTTGATAAAGAATAAAGGACCAAAACAGCAAGCCATTATAAAAGTGGACAACCAGGAAGGGTTTGATCCTAAAGTTAACATCTCTCAGTCAAATACAAATGCCAAAGGAAATGTTAATATGTTCTTAATGTCTCCAGAGCATAATCCTTATTATGAAGCCCCAGACACAAGAATCAAAAGACCAAGGAGAAGAACTTCACAATCAACAAGTGATGGTGCTAAAGATATACCAACATCCAAACCAAAAAGGAAACCTACAACCAGGTCAAAAAATAAAACTACAACAAGGACAGGGTTAAAGACTAAGAACAAGAAGAAAACATCTAACAAGGGAAACTTGAAGATTAAAATTAAAAAAAGTAAAGTTCAGGTGATAGAACAGGATGAGAATGAAGAAATTAGTGAAGATACAGAAACAACGGAAGATAATGTGAAACCCAAAAGAAAACGGGGTGTTGTACATCGCTGGTGCAGAAAATGTGATGTCAGATTCCCAGAGAAAGATTTGCGTAAACATCTGAGAACCAAACATCCTCCATACTCCTGTAAAATGTGTGACTGGACTGGTCTTCTGAAACGAGAGCTGGCATTACATATGTATAGTAAACATCAGATGTTAATAATGCCAGATAAATATCCTCTCTTACAATGTGACAATGCAGTAAGTATATTGAACAGGTACATGTATGTTAATCATGCCTGATAAATATCTTCTCTTACAATGTGACAATGCTAAGCATGCTAAGTATATTGAACTGGTACATGTATGTTAATCATGCCAGATAAATATCCTCTCTTACAATGTGACAATGCAGTAAGTATATTGAACAGGTACATGTATGTAAATCATGCCTGATAAATATCCTCTCTTACAATGTGACAATGCAGTAAGTATATTGAACAGGTACATGTATGTTAATCATGCCAGATAAATATCCTCTATTACAATGTGACAATGCAGTAAGTATATTGAACAGGTTAATGTAAGTTAATCATGCCTGATAAATATCCTCTCTTACAATGTGACAATGCAGTAAGTATATTGAACAGGTACATGTATGTTAATCATGCCAGATAAGTATCCTCTCTTATAATGTGACAAAACAGTAAGTATATTGAACTGGTACTTGTATGTTAATCATGCCTGATAAATATCCTCTCTTACAATGTGACAATGCAGTAAGTATATTGAACAGGTACATGTATGTTAATCATGCCAGATATATATCCTCTCTTACAATGTGACAATGCAGTAAGTATATTGAACAGGTTAATGTAAGTTAATCATGCCTGATAAATATCCTCTCTTACAATGTGACAATGCAGTAAGTATATTGAACAGGTACATGTATGTTAATCATGCCAGATAAGTATCCTCTCTTATAATGTGACAAAACAGTAAGTATATTGAACTGGTACTTGTATGTTAATCATGCCTGATAAATATCCTCTCTTACAATGTGACAATGCAGTAAGTATATTGAACAGGTACATGTATGTTAATCATGCCAGATATATATCCTCTCTTATAATGTGACAATACAGTAAGTATATTGAACTGGTACTTGTATGTTAATCATGCCTGAAAAATATCCTCTCTTACAATGTGACAATGCAGTAAGTATATTGAACAGGTACATGTATGTTAATCATGCCAGATAAATATCCTCTCTTACAATGTGACAATGCAGTAAGTATATTGAACAGGTACATGTATGTAAATCATGCCTGACAAATATCCTCTCTTACAATGTGACAATGCAGTAAGTATATTGAACAGGTACATGTATGTTAATCATGCCAGATAAATATCCTCTCTTACAATGCGACAATGCAGTAAGTATATTGAACAGGTACATGTATGTTTATCATGCCAGATAAATATCCTCTCTTACAATGTGACAATGCAGTAAGTATATTGAACAGGTACATGTATGTAAATCATGCCTGACAAATATCCTCTCTTACAATGTGACAATGCAGTAAGTATATTGAACAAGTGCATGTATGTTTATCATGCCAGATAAATATCATCTCTTACAATGTGACAATGCAGTAAGTATATTGAACAGGTACATGTATGTTAATCATGCCAGATAAATATCCTCTCTTACAATGTGACAATGCAGTAAGTATATTGAACAGGTACATGTATGTTTATCATGCCAGATAAATATCCTCTCTTGCAATGTGACAATGCAGTAAGTATATTGAACAGGTACATGTATGTTAATTGCAGTCCATTCTTAAACATATAGGACTATATATGTATACGTTTTCCTGTTTGAATGGTTTTACACTAGTCATTTTTGGAGCCCTTTATAGCTTGCTGTTTGGTGTGAGCCAATTGCAAGGCTCCATGTTGAAGGCTGTACTTTGACCTATAATGGTTTACTTTTACAAATTGTGACTTGGATGGAGAGTTGTCTCATTGGCACTCATACCACATCTTCTTATATCTATATAGTATAAAATAGTAAACTGAGGAAATAATGCATTGACAATCAATGTACTATCTGAACAATATTGATAGGCTCATAATAAAAAAAAACATATTTACAAGACATTTGTATTTGTAGACAGCCTGTACGAACTGTGACGCCCGTATATGACACGGAAACCAGGCGTAAAAATCATACTTTATCCGGGCGTCATTGCAGTGTTTAAGGAATGCATGTCCAGGCGTCAACCAGGCGTAAACCAGGCGGAAACCAAGCGTAACTGAGGCGGAAACCAGGCGTAAAATTAGGCGTAATATTTAAATGAGTACGCCTGGTCCAGAGAAAACCAGGCGTAATATGCAAATGAGTACGCCTGGTCAATAAATAAACCAGGCGTAATATCCTTACATAATAGTACACTTATTTCAAATCAGTGTATTACCCTAGCTGTGTTCTTTTGTGTATTTAATACAAACTTCTGTACTGTTGCTTTAATTTCTCATTGTTTGACATAAAACTGGAAATATTAACCATTGAAGAAGCTAATATATAAATAAATACATTTTAGACAGTCACTGCCACTGGCTCAAATAAGTTTAAAGTTTAAATAAGAATTATGACAATTAATTTTTCTTGAAATAAAACTTAAGCATTTTAATTAACTAAGTTTTTTATAAATTAATGTCCTTTAAAATATAATGATAATACTGCAATTTAACTTCATGTAAAAGATTTTAATGTTATTATCCAAGGTTAAAGGTTTTGGGATTTCAAAATTACTGTTAGAACTTAAAACTTAATAACTTAGGTTATACTCACATAATTATTATTTACCATGTTTTACTTTCCATTTTTCACAATTTTAATTAATCAATTTGATTCCATATTTCCAATTTCAAATTCTTTCAAAAAGCACAAAACAAGCTAATTATCCCTGAACATATGAAGCTGCCATAAGTCCAACTCTTGCAAACTAAAACCAAAGAGCCAAATTTTGAAAAAAATTCCCATGATCCTTTAAACAAAGCATTATGGGTATTATGATTTACGCCATACCAACAGTTTTACGCCCGTAAGAAAATTTACGCCTTGCTTATTTCAATTTACGCCAGGTTTGCCACTTTTTTCTACGCCCGTAAGGACTACAAATTTACGTTTCCTGCTCCCTTACGCCTGGATCTAGACACGTAAGTACCACTTCCGCCTGGTTTACGCCTTATTTCCAGGCGTAATACGCCTTATAATTTCATACGGGCTGAATGCAAAATGCTATAAGCCTGTATGCAATGTTATCTGTTCAAAATGTTTTAGATTATATACATGTGTGCTGGGAAGCTTAGGTTTTGTCATAGAAAAATCTCCCCTTTTTAACAATGAAAGGTTTAAATTTTTCATCAATATGTAATTCAATTTACATTGTAGATAGTATTGATTCATAGAATAAACAATATTTTCTTCAAAATAAATTGTATCAGATTGGACAAGAAGAGTAAAAATTAGTTTGATGCTTACTTTTATTCTTTCAGGGATGCACATTTAAAACTTTGTTTTCCTATGCATTAGACAGACATAAAGAATGCCACAATAGATTAGTGCGGCATCTGTGTGATGTATGTGGATCAAGTTTTGCCACAGCTGGAGGACTGAAGGAGCACTCGTTAAGACATGCAGATGAAAATCCTATATATAAATGTGATATTTGTGATGCTGTGTTTGGTTGGAAATGTAAACTGAAAGTAAGTTATTATATATATAATTAAGATTAAATACTACACCTAGGCAAATTTAGTTTGAGGGACATAACTCTTCAAAAATCATTGGTATGTTTTTGTCAACCATTTTCATAATATTTCGATTTATTTGCCTTAAGTTACACATGTTTCTTTAATTCTGTTTCACACGAATGCTTAAAATTTAAGAGTGATCTCCCTTAAAATTTTGAAATGTGTTTGTTGTTAAAAAGCACAGGATTTTGATATGCCATTAACTGGTACTTACAAACTTGCTTAGGAAAACAATTTTACCAAATTTATATAGAGATATCATTTTTATACACTGCAGAGGGAGGAAAAAACAGGGTTTTATGATTGAGGCATGTAACACGTTTTGTAACATATTGTAGTGTCTTTGTATGCTGGTGTTTTTTTTAAGTTCTAATATTTTTGACAATAAGTCATGTTACTATATACATGTACTAAGAGGATATCGGAATACTATATGAATAGCATCTCCTTGTATTGTGCTACTATTAGTATAATGAGTGAATAGTAATACTCAAGTTAATGTATACAGGTTTAATTAGTCACAGTTAATGTATACAGGTATAATTAGTCACAGTTAATGTATACAGGTATAATTAGTCACAGTTAATGTATACAGGTATAATTATTCACAGTTAATGTATACAGGTATAATTAGTCACAGTTAATGTATACAGGTATAATTAGTCACAGTTAATGTATACAGGTATAATTATTCACAGTTCACTTTGGTGAAGAACACGTAGAGGATATATAAACATTTAATATTTTAGCATCTTTTTAAAAGAGCAGGATACAAACACTATATATATTCATTGCATAATACAGTTTACCTGTTCTGCCACAAAATAGGAGAAAAGATCATAAATGAAAGTCTCACTGTATAGGGGTCTTCATTTTTGTATTCTTTAAAATTGTGGGCCATTTTTCTTTATTGCTTTTTGTTGCAAAGTTTTTTTATTCTATATATGTAGCACCCCATTTTTCTCTATTCTTTATTTTTATATAATTCTGTAAACCCCATCCAGACCCTCATTATACATATACATATATATTGTTACTTTGTAATTTTGCTATTTATCATGTTTATATTCTGTTTCAGAGTCATGAAATGAAGGAACATGGAACATATCTATTATGTGAAATCTGTACATACAAGACAAAATACAAAGATAAATTAACCATGCATTTACATCACGAACATGGACAACCATTACCAGCAAATCAGAAGATGTAAGTCAGTGGCAAATTTTAAAATGATATTATATGTCTTTTCATGCATAAATCTTTTTAGTTATAAGATTGTATAATTAGGTCTTTTTTATACTTTTAATTAGGGGTCCCAACCCATGAAGAGCTATACTAAACTTAACCTAACCCTAACCCATAGCTGACCATTACTTTAGCCCATACCATAAATCCTAACCCTAACATAGAATAAAAATCAACACTAATCAATCAATCATTCTACTAATGTCATGACTGTTAAATGTTAAATGTCAAATGTCAATTCAATGTATTTAAAGTGTATGTATAGGTCTGGCCGGGGTAAGATTTTAAATAGTTTAGGGTACTGTAAATGTACAAGTTCTTAGTGACGATTAGGAGTATTAGTCTCATTAAGCAAAACAATATCTGTTTCCTGCCTCAGGTCTTAAAAAATATTGTTGGTCAGTCAAAATTTTTGTTTATTTTGTTGTACCCAAAATTTGGAAAAATCTTGCTTAATGTTACCACTAACATGACTAACATGACTAATAACATGAATAATTTTAAGACAAAATTCTGAATTAATGGCAATATTGTATAACTGTCCTTGCATGTATAACATGTATAATATTTATCATTTTTATGCAGTATTTGTACGTAATATTTTATTGACTCAAGTCTGTGTTTATTGTTTCAGACACAGATGTGATCAGTGTGACTTTTACTGTATCAACCGTAGTAAACTTAGATTCCATAAAATAAGACACTCAGGTATTATGCTGTTATAACATGAAATTTTAAAATGATAAAATCCAAATTTAAAGTGAAAAAATGCACATTTTTTGCTGCTTTTCATGTATATTCTATACATTTAAAGACATGAATCACAAATTTTGATTTTTAGATCTGCAGAAGTGTAAATTTTATCAATTAGTAAAAACTTTTGGAATCAATGTAGCCCAGAAACAAAAGTAATGAGAAGTAACAACAGTCTAATGGAAATAACATTTTGTTCTTTCATTACATGCATATGATTGACATGTTCTATGAAAGTAAAACAGGGACTTAATTATACCCTGCTTCATCTATCCTCTCATCCTATGTGTGTTCTGTGACATTTTGTGATTTTTTTTCTTTCAATGCTGAAATTTCTGAAAATTGGTATCTTCTTGTGAACATGCTTTTTGCCCAATGGCCATTCACATCCATGAATCATTCATTTCTTGTTATAGAAATACTTATGTATTCTAACACATAAGGCCATGTATGAAATTGTCATTGCATTTTTATCAGGATTAACTAGTCAGAGATTCCTTAAATAAGGTATCAAGTTTCATGTAGGCATGCTATTCATCAATGTGATATATGCATCATGTTTACCAAATATTTATACACTTTCTTATAATTACACACTATGGCCTTTAGGAAATTTTTGTTCCATTTCTTAGGAACCATGAGTTAGAGCTTCCTGAAATTTGGTATTAACTTCACATGAGCATGCTATTCCATGTGATTCATTTTTTGAATCAATCGCTAATAAGCTTATTCTTACCAAATCTTTTAGAGGGATATATCATTAGTGAGCTATTGCTCACAAGGCATTGTTCTTTCATAATCTTATATTTAAGTCATTCTCTTCTATATTTTCACAGGAGAGAAAAATCATACCTGTGGACAGTGTGGAAAATCTTACCTTAACCAACATCAGCTGAAAAACCATATCAATAGTACACATGGAGGTAAGAATACACACAAACCATATCAATAGAACACCTGGTGGGTACACATGGAGGGAAGAATAAACATAAAGCATATCAATAGTACACATGGAGTTAAGAATAAACATAAAGCATATCAATAGTACACATGGCAGTAAGTATAAACATAAACCATATCAATAGTACACATTGAGTTAAGAATAAACATAAAGCATATCAATAGTACACATGGCAGTAAGTATAAACATAAACCATATCAATAGTACACATTGAGGTAAGAATAGATATAAACTATGACAATAGTTCACATGGAGGTAAGAATAAACATAAACCATGTCAATAGTACACATGGAGGTAAGAATAAACATAAACCATATCAATAGTACACATGGAGGTGAGACTAAACATAAACCATATCAATAGTACACATGGAGGTAAGACTAAACATAAGCCATATCAATAATACACATGGAGGTAAGAATAGATATAAACTATGACAATAGTTCACATGGAGGTAAGAATAAACATAAACCATGTCAATAGTACACATGGAGGTAAGAATAAACATAAACCATATCAATAGTACACATGGAGGTGAGACTAAACATAAACCATATCAATAGTACACATGGAGGTAAGACTAAACATAAGCCATATCAATACTACACATGGAGGTGAGAATAAACATAAACCATATCAATATAACACATAGAGGTAAGAATAAACATAAACCATATCAATAGAACACATGGAGGTAAGTATAAACATGAGCTATATCAATAGTACACCTGGAGGTAAGTATAAACATAAGCTATATCAATAGTACACATGGAGGTAAGACTAAACATAAACCATATCAATAGTACACATAGAGGTAAGAATAAACATAAACCATATCAATAGAACACATGGAGGTAAGTATAAACATAAGCTATATCAATAGTACACCTGGAGGTAAGTATAAACATAAGCTATATCAATAGTACACATGGAGGTAAGACTAAACATAAACCATATCAATAGTACACATGGAGGTAAGAATAAACATAAACCATATCAATAGTACACATGGAGGTAAAAATAAACATAAACCATATCAATAGTTCACATGGAGGTAAGAATAAACTTAAACCATATCAATAGTACACATGGAGGTTAGAATAAACATAAACCATATCAATAGTACACAAAGAGGTACTAAAATACCTACACCATATCAATAGAACACATGGAGGTTCACATAGTGGTAAGAATAAACATACACCATGCCAATAGTACACCTAGAGGTGAGAATAAACATAAACTATATCAATAGAACACATGGAGGTAAGAATAAACATAAACAACATCTATGGTACACATGGAGGTAAGAATAAGCATTAACCATATCAATAGTACACATAGAGGTAAGAATAAACATACACCATGACAATAGTACACCTAGAGGTGAGAATAAACATAAACCATATCAATAGTACACATGGAGGTAAGAATAAACATAAACCACATCTATGGTACACATGGAGGTAATTATAAACATAAACCATATCAATAGTACACATGGCGGTAATTATAAACATAAACCATATCAATAGTACACATGGAGGTAATTATAAACATAAACCATATCAATAGTACACATGGAGGTAATTATAAACATAAACCATATCAATAGTACACATGGAGGTAATTATAAACATTAACCATATCAATAGTACACATGGAGGTAAGAATAAACATTAACTATATTGATTTCTGACAAAAAAAATTCATAATTGGCCTACACTGGGAACTTAAAATGCCCATTTATCAGCATACTGCACTTTACAATATAAATAAGAAGATGTGGTATGAGTGCCAATGAGACAACTCTCCATCCAAGTCACAATGTATAATAAGTTAACAATAATAGGTCAAAGTATGGCTTTCAACACAGAGCCTTGGCTCGCACCGAACAGCAAGCTATAAAGGGCCCTAAAATGACTAACTAGTGCTGTAACAATGCAAACAGGAAAACCAACAGTCTAATCTATTTGAAAAACGAGAAACACCTATGAACTACACCAACAAACGACAACCACTGAACAACAGGCTCCTGATTTAGGACAGGTGCATAAAAATGCAGCGGGTTCAAATGTTTTAACAGGTGCCAATCTTCACCCTAACCTGAGACAGTAGTTTAACAAATAGTCTATCAGCTAGGGCTCTTGTATTATAGTCAATTTTCTAATTACATGTTTTAGCAAGTCTAATAAATTTAATTTTGTATCACATTTCAGCAAGAACATTTGACTGCCATCTTTGTTCATATGTAAGCAAGAGAAAATCGGAACTTAACAACCATATTAAGTCCAGACATTCTGTAAGTAACCATGTAGACCAAGTCTTTTATTTTTCACAAAAATTCTTGTGGTCAGAAATATTGAAAATGAAAAAGTTAAATATAAAAATACATTATAAGGCCTAATTTGGAAATCATGGTTAAGAGCTGTTCAATTAAATCATACATGGTACCAAAGGAAGGCATTTTGAAATGGGATACCCATCTATAGAAACAATTTTAGAACTTCAGAAAGTAGGGGACATTAAAACAAAGGTATTAACAGTAAACATGGTTCTTTGATTGCAAATTGTTACGTTAATGTTTATCTTAAATAATACTATATTTGCTATTCTTTTCAAAAGGAGGACCGTCCATTCACATGCAATCTATGTGACTATGCATGTAAACTGAGAGGAAACTTACATAAACATATCAGACTGGTTCACAAAGTGGATGTTGTAACAAGAAACCAGTTGCACCAAAACATGCTTCAGACAGGGAAAGGCTATATGGATTTGCTTAATGCTAGGAAAACAGATGAAATAGTGATTCAAGAAAAAGAAGAAAGTTCAAAACCCAAGGAAATTCCAAAACCCCCTTCTGAAACCACTCCTAGACTTATGCCAAGTGATGAACCCAACCAAAGACAATTTCAGCAGGTTTTGGAACCTCAAAATTTAGATGATGGTTCCGTCAGGAGAAATATTGAAATGTTGATAAGAACAAATGAAGGCTTATTGAACAGAAATCCTGAAAATTTCACTGGTCCGATAGCTGGTAGTGTTCCTATTGCTGGTAATGTGTATCAGCCAGTCAATATGACAAGTCATGGAAACTTTCAACCTCCTAGTACACAGGGATTTTCATAGGAAAATGTTCCAATTGTACATTGTTATAGCAGATATACATAAGTTTGTACACAGATCAATCAAGCTAAGTTTGCTTGTTTGGTAGGTGGTATTACCATTGTTTACTTCCAGTAAAGTAACTATGGTTATAACTAGCCAATCTAATCATGAGACAGATAACAAGGGATGACTGAAAAACCTGTTTGGCCATTTTGTTTCTATATTTATGATAGCTTTTAAAGAATTTGTGGTTCAAGAGCAAAAATAACTTTATGTAGAAAGTACACACTAAAATAATTTTACTGTATCACATTTACGATGTGGAAATGTTAATCATGTGATATATAAATCTGTAATATTGAATCATATAAATATGAGGGTCTGGATTGGGTTTACAGAAGAGAGAATAATGCCCCAAAAAAGTAATGTAAAGAGAAAAATGAGTAAAAAATATTAGAATAGAGAATAATGGGGTGCAAAAGTATAAAGAATGACTGTGAAAAATAAAAAAAATTAGTTAATACTATATATAAACTGATTAGAGAAATGAACGATGAACAGAAAAATTGTAAAATCATTTTCATGAGAATTTCATAGAACAACTGTTATTTTTAAAGATAAAGAAAAATTTCCTAAAATCTAAAGAATACACTACAGAAATTAAGGACCCCCATCCAGACCCTCATATATAACATGAAAGAATCACATTGCTTCTTTTATTATGTGACAAGTATATTCAAAAGTTTTAGGTATACAAAATATGAATAAATTTAGGAGATATGGGCTGTTTTCTGCTCTATGGTTGGGTTGTTGTCGCTTTGACACATTCCCCATTTCCAATATTAATTCTATACATCAAGGTGACAGCAACCCAATTACACAACAAAAAAAGTGTATGTGTAAACGTCATGCTCTACAAAACCGTAAGTAAATAAAAAATTGTAAATGAATTTAATAGAGAATATTATCCATTTGTCGTTTTGAACAATAAGTATGTTTAAACTAAACAGAGAATATTAAAGATCTGCCATCAAGAACAATATCTTCAACAGAGAAAAAACATGATAAAGGCTAAAAACAACCACTTAAAAGAGGTTCTTGATGCCTACACAGAACCATGAAACTTGAGATTTGTCAAAAGAGAACACTTGTATCTAGACAGACAATGTATATTCTTTTAAACATGTAACCAAAAACCTGTATCAGAAAATACAATGTATTTTACTTACCATCACTGGAACAGCTCACCATAAAACATGTCTTGTAAAGTATGAACCAATTTTTTTTATATCAAAATATATATAACAGAGAGTTGTATACTTATATTGTTGTAATTGGTAAGTGGTTGTTTAAAAACTTTTACAATTGTATTTGTATTATGGCTCTCTCATTTGTTAATTTATGCAGAGATATTTCATGTTAACAATGTTGAAAATTGTCTTATATATATATATCATGTATATATATATATATGTATTAATTGTTGAATTGTTATATTTCTATTATGAGTGTTAATTCATTTGATTTATAGGTATAATTTTTGGGACTTGATAAGGAATAGTTGTTTTGGGGAAATTTAAAATCATGGTTTTACAATTTGATCTCTCATTTGCATATATGCACATAAAACCCCTGAAGATCTAGTCTTTAAATGACAACTTATTAGCTCACCGGGGCCCGAAGGGCCCCATGTGAGCATATGCCATCACTTGGCGTCCGTCGTCGTCTGTCGTCGTAAACTATTTCAAAAATCTTCTCCTCTGAAACTACTGGGCCAAATATTTTCAAACTTTAACTAAATGTTCAAGGGTATCTAGTTTATAAATTGTATCCGAAGTTTTGATCCATCGACAAACATGGCCGCCATGGCTAAAAATAGAACGTAGGGGTCAAATGCAGTTTTTGGCTTATATCTCAAAAACTAAAGCTTTTAGAGCAAATCTGACATAGGGTAAATTGTTCATTTGGTCAAGATCTATCAGCTCTGAAATTTTCAGACGAATTGAACAACCCATTGTTGGGTTGCTGCCACCGAATTGGTAGTTTTAACAAAATTTTGCAGTTTTTTGTTATTATTTTGAATATTATTATAGATATATATAAACTGTAAGCAGCAATAATGTTCAGCAAAGTAAGATCTACAAAAAAGTTATTATGACCATAATTGTCAATTGACCCCTTAAGGAGTTATTGCCCTTTAAAGACAATTTTACACAATTTGTTCATCAAGTTTGCTAACATTTAAAAATCTTCTCCTCTGAAACTACTGGGCTAATTACCTTCAAACTTTAACTAAATGTTTCTTAGGGTATCTTGTTTATAAACTGTATCTGAAGTTTGTATCCATCGACAAACATGGCTGCCATGGCTAAAAATAGAACATAAGGGTCAAATGCAGTTTTTGGCTTATATCTCAAAAACTAAATCTTTTAGAGCAAATGTGACATGGGGTAAAATTGTTTAATTGGTCAAGATCTATCGGCCCTGAATTTATCAGACGAATCGAACAACCCATTGTTGGGTTGCTGCCACCGAATTGGTAGTTTTAACAAAATTTTGCAGTTTTTTGTTATTATTTTGAATATTATTATAGATATATATAAACTGTAAGCAGCAATAATGTTCAGCAAAGTAAGATCTACAAAAAAGTTAAATGACCAAAATTGTCAATTGACCCCTTAAGGAGTTATTGCCCTTTAAAGACAATTTTACACAATTTGTTCATCAAGTTTGCTAACATTTAAAAATCTTCTCCTTTGAAATACAGGTGAGCGATTCAGGCTCTTGAGAGCCTCTTGTAATTAGTTTTGTTGTCTCTATTAATCACAGAGTCCATTAAAATGATATCCTTCGATTGACAATTGATTCTGAGCATTTCCATAGTCATAATAGTTCAGGATATTTGATCTTTTTAATTTTAACCATTATTTTTGTTTTATAACTCTTTTGTGATATGATTAACCAGAGTAACTCCAAAACTATCAAACATGTCAAAGAAAACCCTAATATTAAAAAAAAATTAATACACTCATCAAATGCCTATGAAGGGTGTCTGATCCCGGATCCTGCTTATTGTTTTGTCAGAATCCCGTATCCCGCTTATCATTGCAATTATAGCGACTGTAATTTCACGTGTCCCGCTTTCCCATTTTCACGCAAAATAATTTGACTTTCACGTGTCACGCTTATGAAAAATCGGCCCATCCCGCATCACGCTTACACCCCAATGGGACCGACTATGAAGTATGATTTGCAATACCTAAACTTAGTTGTGTATGCTTTGGGATTAATGGGACGTTATGAAATAAAAAACATAATGTTAGTCATGTGAAATTGTCTAAACAAATAACATGGTATTAAAAATTCAACAAAAAAAACACATATTCTTTCATTCCTTTTTATATATTATTACATTATTTCTCACCATAACTCTACATTGAAAATCTAGAGAGTTTCAGATCTTATCAAATAATTTTAAACACTTGACATACAAATCAGTCTCAATATTCCATGATATTATGAAAATGGTAAACTGTTAGACAATGTTATTTTGGACCTCAATTAATAGCAATCATCCTAAAAGTAATAATTTAACTGATCCATTATTAGCATACTACGACGGTCATTAGTAAGGCAATGCAAAATAGATTTTATGCATACAGCATCTCAGTTTTTGTCTCTCCTTGACAGAGTCAAAAAGCGAGACATAGGTATGCTGTTTCCAGTATCGGTGCTGACAGCGGCATCAACAATGTATTAGTTTGTGATTAGGTCAGTTTTGTGGGGAACCACTTGTGGTAGGTCTATGATATTTGGTATGCAGTTGTATTAGCATTGGTACATCTCATTTCCATGGAAATTATTTGGCCCCGCCCCCTCAGGCCTCAGTCATGGTCTATTGGCTTTGAAACTTTTGTATAGTTTACATATATTAGTTTGTGATTAGGTCAGTTTATGGGGAATCACTAGTAGTAAGTCAATGATATTTGGTATGCAGTTATATAAGCATTGTCACATCTCATTTCTATGGTGATTATTTTGCCCGCCCCCTCAGTCATGGTCTATTGACTTTGAAACTTTTGCTAAGTTTACATGTATTAGTTTGTGATTGTGTCTGTTTATGGGGAACCACTAGTGGTAGGTCAATGATATTTGGTATGTAATATATGTATTAGCATTGGCACATCTCATTTCCATGGAGATTGTTTTGCCCCTCTGTCTCAGTCATGGTCTATTGACTTTGAAACTTTTGCTTTGTTTACATGTATTAGTTTGTGATTATGTCTGTTTATGGGGAACCACTAGAGGTAGGTCAATGATATTTGGTATGTAATATATGTATTTGCATTGGCACATCTCATTTCCATGGATTTGTTTTGCCCTGTACTTTCAATCATGATTCATTGTCTTTAAACATTTTGCATAATTTACATGTTAAAGTATTGCTATTTTAATTTCAACATTTGCATTTTACTATCAAAATAACAAAACGACGAAATATATCTCAGTGTTAACAGTTTATTGAATGAAGAAGATATTGTAGATAGTTATTAAATAAATAATTTGACAGGTATTAAAAAGAAGCTGTCATTATTAAAATGCAAGTAACTCCTTATTACTTAAAAATAAATGAATTGAATATTAAAAATGTATGATTTGGGTAAATTTTTAATATGTTATTGAAATCTATGATGATACTGGTGATACATTTTTACATGTCAGAGCAAATAAAACAAAATATAAAATGAATAGCCTTCTTTTATATGACAATGAATATCATTTCTTCATTCTCAAAATTCTACAATCAGTGTACAGGGCCATTAAAAAAATCTTGATTTGATGTTTTCCAGCACTTTTTTGGAGATGGGTAGAGTGTGCCTTACACAGAATACATGTATGAGGGTCTGGATGGGGGGTCCTTCATTTCTATATTCTTTTAGCTTTTTAGATCATTTTTTGGTCGTATATTGGTATCACGTTGTCGTCGTCTGGCATATTCGTCAGCGTCGTCCGAAGACAGATGGTTTCCGGATAATAACTTTAGTATAAGTAAATAGAAATCAATAGAATTTTAACACCAGGTTTATAACCACTAAAGGAAGTTTGGGGTTGATTTTGGGGGTTATGGTCCCTACTGTTTAGGAATTAGGGGCCAAAAAGGGGCCCAAATAAGAATTTTTGTAGTTTCCAGACAATAACTTGTGTTAAAGTGTATGAATCTCTCTTAAATTATACCAAAAGTTTCCATACCACAAAGGGATGGTTAGTATTGACTTTTGGGGGTTATGGCTCAAACCAATTAGTAATTAGGGGCAAAAAAGGGGCAAAAACAAGGGTTTTTCTGGTTAAAGGACAATTGAGACAATTTAAAAGCAGTGTAAGGGAGGTAATCCAAATCAATTAAAAGAACACTGTTTGATTAACTCCCTTACACTGCTTGTAAATTATGTATTAAGAAATGAAGATTGTCTTGAGGTGATTAGCTGTCAATTTATTTTTAGCAGTTACTATTAATTAATATTAATTTTAGCCATGACTATGTATGTCATTTTATATTTTAAAACTTTTATGATGTATTTAAATGGGTAATTATGGTTGCAAACTTCATTAGAAATTTAAATTGAGATACTGACCATATCTTGAGGGAAAGATTTTTTTTGGGGGGAATAAGGGAAAGGGGGGAGGTAAAAAAAATTGGAGGGGGGACAATTTTTCTCATTTCAGATTTCAGAAATTAAAAGAAAATTTCTTCAAATATTATTTTTTGGGGGTTAATATTCAACAGCATAGTGAATTGCACAAAAGCAAAAAACTGGGGTAAAATTTTTTTTTTTTTTTTGGGGGGGGGGGGGGGGGGTCAATTCGCAACAGCATAGTGTATTGCACAAAAGCAAAAAATTGAATATAAATTCAAATCATATAACCAATTTGAAGTTCTTTGACTACAGTTATTCTGTGTCAGAAACCTATTATGTGTCAAAAATTTAGTTACAATCTAAATTCAGACCTGTATCAAGCATATATATTGTGTCCATTTTGGCCTCAAGTTTTCAGGGTTGGACATCTGTGGTCGTATCCAGCTGCGCTCAGCGAAGCAATTTATTCTCTATATTTTAGCACCTCATTATTTTCTATTCTTTCTATTTTTTGTCTAGTTTTCTCTATTCTATATATTTTTTTCCCTTTGTTCTGCACTTTTTGCCATTATTCTCTTTTCTGTAAACCCTATCCAGACCCTTGTGTATGACAATTGATGTCAAGAAATCCTAACTTTTGTTGTTGTTAATGGTTCTGAGTGTCTCAGCTTATACTTATTTTGTGTGTTTGTATGTAATCTTTATGTTTGCTTATGCCTATTTAATATATCAGACACAGCTTCTTTGAAATAATTAGGGTTGGGATGGGAAGATGGTATTTCTTCATTTTAGCATCTTTTCATTTGTTTTATGGAATTTTTCCTTTTTTTTTTGCCATTGATCCTTTCTTTATATTTGAGCACCCAATTATTCTCCTGTTTTCTTTTTTTTTTGTCCATTATTTTCTATTATTAATATTTGAAAACCCCTATTTGTTTCTACCCCCTCTCCAATCTTATTCTTTATTTTATTAACCCCATCCAGACCCTCATATTATGTAACAGGCAAAAACAAACATACATTGTTCATGCAAAAATCCTTTAAATGAATTATTTAACACATTGATTAAGTATAAACACCATCTGGTAAGTCTTATCTGTGATTTTATCAATATTTATTACTGTAAGTTCTGGTCATGATTGTATTTTATACCTAACCTAGACTTGGTTGCTACTTTTAGAAGTCATTCTGATTTGTCCAAAACAGGAGGATTTGTAATGGACATATGGATTTTCTCGCTGTGTTGAAGACCCATTGGTGGCCTTGAGGTGTTTTCTGCTCTTTGGTCGGGTTGTTGTCTCTTTGCCACATTCCCAGTTTCCATTCTCAATTTTATAACATAGATTGGTTTAGGTATAATCTAACAGTAAATCAGAAAAAGAGCTGCATCCTAATGATTTATATTTACTGACAGTAAAATATGCATTCAGAAAAGTTGGTTCATTAGAATGCTGGCAGTTACTGTGTTAGAGACCTTAATCTGTGCATGGACTATATTGTATAAATTTAACATTCATTTACCCCATATATGTTATCTATACTGATAGATGTGGGGTATTCATCAAAGAGACCGCCACCCAATACACAAATAAATGATAACATGTAGAGGCCATATACAGTTTTCAACAATAAAAATATGAGACCAGTATCTATATCAAACTCTAAATCGTCCTGAATCTAAAAAGCTTAAGATTAATTCTACTTTGAAGGACATGCCATGAACACTAAGGGAACGACCATTTAACTACAAGGGAGGGGGGTTATGGTTTTTTCCTAAAAAAATATTCTGATCCCCAATTTGATGAAAAAAAATATTGTGGTCATGCAGACGAACAAAAAAAATATTCTGATTCCAGATTGTCCCCATACCTTATAGTGTTAAATTTTTGAAAAAAATAATTTGATTGATAGCGTCTAAAAAACAAAAAAAAATCTTTGCGCTTTGCGCGGAAAAAAAATTCTGACTCAGACAAAAACCATAACCCCTCCCCCCGGTTGAAGTTAAATGGTTGCTCCCTAAATTCTCCAAATTGCTCCCAAAAAAATCTAGAATACGACATAACAATCACTGATGAGGTGCCTGGTTTGAGCAGGCAAATGCATCTGTTTTTTTTTGTTTTTTGGAAAGATTGGAACTATTCAGTATTGTTCCTAGTCTTTCCTAAGGCACCGGCCTCCTAAACAAGAAGTAGCACAGGTTAGCTACTAAATCTACAAATTGAATATACACTGCGATATAGTTCCCTATATTTGTAATGTCTGTGAACTTATGCACATATGAACTGTGAAAATTTTGGGTTATATCTTGGAGCCGTTCATTCAAGTATGTGCAAATATATGTCTTTTAAGTTTTGTCAATTTGTAGGCTTTTTTTGTCATTTTAATTAATGATACGGCCAGAACTAATTGACGCCAATTACAGTTTTGAAAAGGTATCAATTGCGCCACTCTATTTTTCTGAGGGTATTAAGTGCGCCACATTTACCTGTATATTTTTTTACCTATATTATATATGATCATGCACTATAATTAACCTGTTGACTTTAGATTAAACAGAACACTTATCAAAATTAAGAAACTCATAAATAAATAAATTGTTCAGTAATATAATAGTTTTTTTTTCATGTAATGATCTTTGATATATTGTTCGAGAAAATAGTCTGATAGAGGGAAACCCATCATCGTTGTAGAAGATCACAAATTATGTCAGGCATTTGTTAAGAAAAATAGAGAAATTAGATAGAGATGTACAGTGAAGTCGTGTTGTGCTAGACTATTTACAGATGAATCTTATACAGTTATTTTGAGTGGAGAATGAGACCATATACATGTAAATAATACTCAGTAACTAGAAAGACAGATCTTGAGAACAGTATACAAGTGAATTGCAACTGATATGAATAAGTTGGTAAAATTGGCGCAATTGTATGATTGTTTTATTGGCGCAAATGAAACCTATAGTTTTCAAAATGAAGTGGCGCAGAAGTAGCATTTGCACAAATATATTCATTTTTGGCGCTGATAGATATCGGCCAATGATACAATATCATAATGCTTGACAACTGCCAAGATTACCAAACAATCGGAGGTAAGGTGGGGCCTTAATTACAATGTCCCACCTCCTTAAATGCCAATCATATTGACCAAATTACTTATCAAATAAATCAAATGCCCCCCCCCCCCCTTAGTATTAACATTAAATGTACCAATTTTACTGCACCAAATGGCCATTAACAAACGTCACTTCAGTGATGCTGGAGGCCAAAATAACTTGAAAATCCCAAACTTAATACAAACTTAGAAGAGCTGATGTATAACCGAAAGGTGTACATGTAGGTATATATTTTCTCAGAGACAAGTGCCTGTGAGAGATTATAGTTACGAACGGTAAATATACACACTTTAAAAATAAAATCACAGACAAAAACGGGGAAAATAAACAACCTTTCGTCGTAAATTTTTCGTTTATTAATTTCGCATAAAACCAAGTAGTCCTTCACATTTTCCCATGCATGTACATTTTATAGCTAATTACTACAAGGCACGAAGTTTGCTCTGCATGTCATTTTTGAAAGCCTACGGTAAACTATAGTTGTTACATAGTTATATAACATAAAACCTTACTTGGAATGGAACCACATTTGAGTGTATTAAAGGCACAAACACCTTTCCTGAAAAAATACCTATATAACTTAATTAATCTTCTTCTTCTTTCAGTAACTTCCTCCTGTGGTTAGGAGCACATCAATTTCTTGATTATACATAATGGGCTTATATTACACGGACTTATATACAGCTAAAATCACTTTGTTATTTCCCAGTATAAAACGCAATTGCATATATTAAAATACGATGGGCTTATTTTACACGGACGATATTAAAAGTTATTCACTTTGATACTTCGTTAAAAATAGTCTAAAATCTAAAATGACACTGATTCACTTTATGACATTAGTAAAACCGTGGTCTGACACTATTAAATATGTCTCTATATTCTAAAATTAATATATGCATGTAAAGGCCCAACAAGTTAGTGCAGAAAAAGGTTAAAAAAACTCAAGAACCTTTTTTGGATTCTATAAACCAAATTTTATCTAATGATTTTAAATATTTTTCTTAAATTCACGATTCCGTTGATTTTAATAATTATAGGAAACTAAGGTTCCAACTTCTTCACGCAAAGTTGACCTTATTGATGGGTTTGTCTGCTCTTTTTGTAGTTCCCGTTTTGTCATATAATAGCTCATCACGTATATATGCGAGAACTTTTAAAAACATCATTGACCTTCAATTTTTTTGGGTATGAGTTTGCCTTTAAAGGCACTGAATTAATCAAACTTGTGTACTTTTCATGTACTATAAAACTGATTTCTCAGCTAATCCACAGGAGTGTGTTGATTTAATGGATACCTATCTTTAATTGTCCGTTTATAATAAATTATTAAGAATTAAACTAAGGTTCCAACTTCCTTGGGCAAAATTTGACCTTTCACATTGGTTTTACTTTTCTCTTCACTGGCCTTTTCATTTATGTATAAAAGATCGAAATGCTTATTTTCCTATATCAAGTACTGGGTCTTGTTAATTGTGTGTGGCCTGTACAATAAAATCGTTATTCCTGCGGTACTTTATGGATATGAACTTTGGAATTGGTTAAATCTGAAAGATGTAAGGTCTCTTCTTATAAAATTCAAGCATTTCATTGTCAAAAATATTCAATTCTTCCCTAAGCGAATACGGTCGGATATGTGAGAATCAATGTCCAAACTTGAGAGACTACTGATATTAGTAGAAAAACGGAAACTTATGTTCCTACATTAACTTTGCGATATTAATGTCAACTCAATTACCAAACGAATTTTCATTTAACAGACTGTGCCAGTTTTTCGGAGATACCTGTAGACGACAATATAGATTCATCCCAGACATAATTATAATAACATTTTATCAAAAAAATTGTTTTTGAATTTTTGATACGGGCACTTTTCCAGCGAAATTTCAGTACTATGTTACTATAAAAGAGAGACTTCAAAAGGGTAAGCGTATGCGAAGAGACAACGTTTTATCAGATTTATAAGATTGACTGAGAACAATGACCAACTTCCTATGGCAATATGTTAAAATCACTGGCAGACTTTTAACAGCGAAACATGTTGCCAAACTTTGGACTACTCCCCCGACTAACGAAACTGCAAATTATGTGGACACTTTGTTCAGGATACCATGAACCATCAAACAAGTCTGTGCACAGAACTACAAACACAGAGAGTCTTGCTATATGATCGATTAACTGAATTGATTAGTGAAAATTTCATAATACAGATTATTTTCAAAATCAAACGAGAACATTTTATGTTTTCTACTTGGGGGAAAAAGGAAGAACTCTGGGACATTTTAACACCAGAGCATTATTTGGAAGTCCTTAACGAAGGATTTTCATTTCTAAAATACTGTAGACTGTAAATACTTTTCCATCCAAAACATTATGTGACATTTTCATTTACGATTTTAAAACTTTAAAATTTTATATTAATATATATGCATGTTGTTAAATTTGTCGATCCCCTATAGAAGTAAATAAAGTATGATGATTATAATGAACTTGTCGATAAAGGCAAATCCAAAATAGTGCTTCAATGCTTCAATGCACTTAATTTATCAAGTGTTATTTTCATTTAGGTGATACCACTAGCGCTGCTTACGGACTAGTATCTGCTAATCCTGGAGGGTATAATCAGATCAGTAGTCATTGCTTAGTCCTGACGTGATTTATAGCATACCTGGATATATTTAGAAATGATTAAGACACTCCACAAGCATATTTAACTTTAGATGGATTTGGCGTCTTTTATTTTAGGTACCTATTGGTCATAAAGCTCCTCACATATTCAGGCGCTTTTACGTCCTTGGTTACAATTTTCGGGGTTTCAGTGTTACTGTTAAAGGTAAATCGAGAGAGCGGTACGGACGAGCCAAATGCTTCTTAAGTGTATTTTGCATTTACTAACACTGGGTCGGAGCCGCTGCTGTTGGACTGTTTGTTCCAAAATGGTATCATCAACTCAGAAGTCACTGCTTCCAATTATGTCCTGACATGACTTAAAGAATAGGACGGCTTCCTTAAATTTTCTGTTGGTAAATTCTGAATATTCCAACTCCCAAAAGAAAAGTTGACCTTATATACATGATGTATGGATTTGGCTATATTTTTAGGCCTCTTTTGGCTACATATATCTTCATATTCAAGTACTTAGTATACACCATATACTATTAATTTTGATGGTTGGAGCAAAAGGAGCAGAATAAAGGGAAAAATAAGAAAAGTGAAAATAGGCTATAGATAAACAATTGAAAATAGGGAATAATGGGGTTCTGATATATAAGTAATAGAGAATAAATGCCAAAATAAATAAAGATTTGAGAATAATAGTCTAAACAATTAAAAAATAAAGAAAGGAAAGACCCCCATCCAGACCCTCATATAGAAATAAAAAACTATTTAAACCTAAAGTAGGTTAAATTTTTTCCATTAACATTGTACAAGTGAGCAGCAGTATTTGTAGTTATTTCTTTCGAAATGATAGCTTTGTCATGCCCGTTTTATGATACAATTGTCAGTTCAACTTTTTTAAAATGTTTCAGGTTGGTTGTACAATTATATAAGGGTCTGTATGGGGTTAACAGAATGGAGAATAATAGGGCAATACTACAGAAAAATGTGACAAAAATAATTGTATAAAAAAGTAGGCAAAAAACATAAGCAATAGAGAATAAAGGGATGGGTGGGGCTAAAATATAAAGAACGGAGGATACTATGCAAAATTTATAAAGAATAGAGAAAATGGTTTTAAGAATTAAAGGATACAGAATTGAAGAATCCCCCATCAAGACCTTCTTGTATTATATCTGGCCAGACTGTGAACCGTATTTAACGTAAATTTTTTTGTGCAAATAAGATTTATCTATTGTCTTATTGTCTATAAATCATGAGGCTATCATCTCGAACTAGAACTATCAGTAGCGGATCCAGAACTTTTTATAAGGGGGGGGGGGCCACTGACTGACATAAGGGGGGCCCGCTCCAGTCATGCTTCAGTGATTCCCTATATAATCAACCAAATTTTTCCCACGAAAGGGGGGCCCGGGCCCCCCAGGGCCCCCTCCCTGGATCCGCTTATGACTATAACCAGGGACGGATCCAGGATTTCGGAAAGGGGGGGGGGGCGAAGTATTAAAGTTTTTTTGGACCTTTTTTTCACTAAAAAACATAAAATAAGTGTAAAATGCATTTTATACTTAAAGTGTAGGGGTTGGACATTTCTGGTGCCGTATTCTCTCAAATGATTGGATGGATCCAAAGCTATAATAATGTACTAATTAATATATTTGATGTGGGATTTGTCAGTAAAAAATGGACATGGAAAATTCTCGTTTGTTGTATGGTTAGTTAGCATAACCTCACAGATTTCTTGTTGTAAACAAGATATACGGCTATTCAATGAAATTTACAATACGACCGACACGAAGAAAGACAAACAAGCAATTTTCATCCAAATGTTTGGTTGAAATGTTTCACCCAACAAGGGAAGTGAGGGGTTCCAAATCAACCAGAGGCTACGAATGAGTCGGAAATGACAATGAAGTTGTGAATGACGGTCGACACATGGAGACATATAGGCCACACCCAGCAGGCAGGTTGCAGTCGGACCTGAAAAAGTATTCAGTATATAAGTTCGGCGAAACAGACATTCCGGTCAGACATGGGATTCACATGCAACCCCCCCCCCCCCCCCCTAAAAAAAAAAAAAAAATTACGCCCGTTTTTTATTCATCATGTTCATTTAATGCTAAATAATTCTATTGAAAATATTTTTTTCTAATAGCAAAAAAGTGGACAAGATTATTGTTTTCAATCCAGATACGGCCAGAATTTTTGTTTAAGGCAAAAATCAGGGTCATAATTTTTTCTCTAAAATATCTCAGACTGCCCCTTCAGATCAAATGGTCCGTACCTTAGACTTTAAATGTATATCTAGAGCTTACTGACTGCGGATCACTATTCATCAATATTATTAATGGGCTGGGGCGTGTGGGGTTAAACATGTTTTCGTAGGTAAATAATATTGCTGTGGAACTTTTTTTTTCATGAGAGTGTAATAGAGTATAACTTTCTGTTGGGTGGAATTGTGAAATAGAAGTCAATACGTTCTTGCTCAATACTTTGTCGCTTTGAAGGCGTCATGCTTGTCATCCTCAGCCTAAGCAATGTGTTACTGTAATTTGAATTTCAAAATGACTGAGTGACTTTTTTTCGACGAACTGGTCAACTCCACCGTAGAGAATCACATGACTTTGACACAATCAATAATATATTACAGTAAAATACGAGCGAAAAATATCTTTATAAGTAAAGAATTGTCGCATAAAAATTAAATACACGGGAAATGGCAAAGTTCACAAAGTCTAGTCTGATTAATCATTTTACAAAAAAAAAAAAAAAAAAGTGCAAGCAAAGGGGGGGCGTACGCCCTCTACGCCCCCTTCTGGATCCGCCACTGTTTAAACTGGAACTTTTACTAAAATCAATCCTCGGTCTCTAACTCAAAATAACCGATCGTTAGCCTGTCCGGAATTTATATTTCCCGCCACAATTTACTTTCAGTCTGTATTATCTCCCCTAAATGCACCACTGAAATTGCTTCCGGTCCAAACAAAAATACACTGAAAATTAATATTTACAGGTTTAGGTAAGGTTTAAGAACATAGTGTAAAACAATTAAATGAAAATGGAAAGTGAGAGGGGAATAAAACATGGTTATACATGCAAAGGCATCATGTCATGTCACAATTTGGGACCAATGGTCTAAATGTCACCGCCCCCCCTATAATTTTGCGAAGTCGAAGAGTTTTGTTGTTGATATTTCAAGCATTATTCTTCTTGCTTATATATGCACTACACCATCAAGCAGTCTGATGATTAAATTATGTTCTATGCTTGTCATATTTAGGGAGCTGGCATTTGATTTTTATGGGGCGCTAGGATGAAAAATTTTGTCCTGCATTTTTTTAGTTTGTAATCTTTGTCCTGCCTTTTTATTTTTCACTCTACTCGGTCGTGCCTTTTTTTTTAGTTTATCCTGACTTTTTTTTACATAAATTGTCATCCTGCCCCTTTTTTTTGCAAAGTGTCTCATCCTGCCTTTTTTTTTACACAACACTCCTGTCCTGCCTATTTTTTTAAAATTTCATACTAGCCCCCATAAAAATCAAATGGTAGCTCCCTTACAATGATTAATCAATGAAGTAAAATAAGGAAGTTCTGTGCTTTTTGGAACAAATTTGTTGGTATAGGCCAGTTCATAGTTATAATTACAGCCATATTGAAAAGGGGGCAGATTTTTTTGATATTGGTGGGAATAGTATGCAATTACCAGAAATCCTTTGCATGTTTCCAAGCAACTGTTCTGTGTGGCCATTTTACTATTCATTCTAACCTGAGACTACTATAACACAGTAGTGTTATAAGTAGTCTAAACTTTAACTTCAAGATACCTAATAAACTTATAAACATATATCTTAATCTTATAAAGTACATTGTATATAAGATATTTTACAAAGTTTATAAGATATCTTATAAAAACTAGATTATATAATATATCTTATAAAAACTAGATTATATAATATATCTTATAAAAACTAGATTATATTACATATCTTCATGATCTTATAAAAACTAGATTAAATATCTTATAAAAACTAGATTATATAATATATCTTATAAAAACTAGATTATATAAGATATCTTATATTATATGAGATATCTTATATATTTAATGAGATATCTTATATAAGATATCTTATAAACTTTTATAAAGTGAAACACAGATTTCTCTCCCAAAAAACACCAAGTAATTACTCCCATCTGGGAGGGTTTTATGACCTGTTGATTGCAGGTAAGAGTAATAAAAATCGACAAAGCACGACTGCATGGTCTGACAGTGACATAATTACAGGTCATCTATTCTCTCACTTCTTCCTATTTCAATCATTTCCTATTTAGTTTTATTTCTGAAAGCTATAAAAAAAGGTTAACGAAATGATTTTTAAAATTTTTATACAAATATGTATTTTTAGATTGGAAAATTATTTACATTCTTTCATAATCTCATAATCAAGAATGGCAACTTGATATTTACAATAAGTTGTATTTATAGTCAGTTTAAACATATAGATATTAGTATATACATGGTTTAAAAAATAATAGTAATGATACAAAAAAAAAATAATGAATAAAATAAAATAGTGTAGATAAATTACATATATATATTATATTTATATAATCTTCCTTTATTTCTTATCATTTAAATTTAGAAAAAACGATTGAATAAATTCAATTAAAATATATGTCTTTATTTTCTATTAATAATACTCCACTTACAGGTGATGTTTTGTTTGTTTTATACATGTTTCTTAGGTATGAAAAACCAACACTGTCAGAACAAATGCTGAATATAATTTTAATAAATAAAGTTGTACAGGATTCTTTAATAAAATCAGATTATAATATGTCTCTGATTAAATTTAACAAATCTCACACTTTTCATCATTTTTGTGACTGTCATTTAATGACAGGAAACACAAGAAATGTTTATTGTAGTCATCAACTACTGGCACACTTCAAAGGTAATCATAGCAATAAAAATCATGTTGTTGGGAGAAACCACACCAAGGTAATAAACAATTCAGGAGTTTTAGGGAGGAATTACTCCAAGTTTCTCCCAATTTCCTCCCAAGATTTGGAGAGAGTTGCTGGAGTCTCTTGGTGTGAAACCAAGTTTTTACACAGTGTAGGGAGTATGAGATTACATCCTCTCTGTGTGTACTGTATATAGCATGTATCATGTGTATAGTTTATAAGATATTTTATATAGTTTATAAGATATCTCATATAACATGTATAACATGTATAATTTATAAGATATCGCATATAATTAATAAGATATCGCATATGATTTATAAGATATCTCATATAATTTTCTTTACAAGATATCTTATAAATTATATGAGATATCTTATAAGCTATATGAGATATCTTATAAACTATATAAGATATCTTATAGACTATATAAGATATCTTATAAACTATATAAGATATCTTATGGACTATATAAGGCCAACTAAAATTAATTAGTAGATTTTCATCCAGATTTTTTTTTTTAAATGGGGCGGGTGGACATGGTGGGAGGATTTAATTTTTTAATTTTTATTTCCTCCTAAACCCTTTTGTGACGTGTTGTTGATATACAAAGGTAATAAAAAGATTACACAGGGGTCGACTTAAGCACTGGCCGCTGGCCAAAGGCCAGTAGAATTTCAATAGAGCCAGTTGAACATAAAGACTACTGGCCCCATTGGCCATTACATTTGAATATATTTTCACTTATATAGTATTATTAGGGCAAATTTTATTTGAGTTGGGCTAGTAAATTTACGCTCTAACTGGCCCTATTGACCAGTCAAGGATATAACTCTATAGGGTTATTACAGTAAATATCTTGCATGTGTTATTACAGATACTTTCATGAGTTGTCTACTCTTTAATCCTTAAATTTTCTAAATCTGTAATAACATATGTTTGTTATTTGTAAAATAAATCATAAATATTTTAATTTATAGTGGGCTCTAGGGAACTATTGAAACTTTGCGCAGAAACTAAATGCATAGCCTTGATAACTAACTTTGAAATTAAATTAATACATTTTTCCTTAACCATGGTAAATCAATGAGACAAGGCTTTTAAGGGATAAACTTAGCTGTAATAACAAGGCTTTGTTATTAAAGGCATGTAACTTATTATATGAGACACTTGGGAATTACTGGGAAGCTTGCGCAGAACCTCATTACATGCTCTGATCATTATTTCTTAAAATGAATAAAAATACATTGTAATTAAGCATGATGTAAGTCTTAGCAAATGCTTTTGAAAGATGTAGAGAAGCTGTAATAACACCCTTTAGTTATTACAGGCTTATTTTTTCTGTAATAACATAGGTGTACTATGCATGATTGGCAAACTATGAACTGTTATATCTTTTTATAGTTAAGTAAACACAAAGACAATAGTAATATCAATAGAACTTGTATGCATTTTAACAAAAACTAATGATGTATATTGTCCCTTTGAAACATGTAACATACATATGTTATCACAGTTCTTTGATTTTTTAGTCCACAATAACAAATGTATGTTATTTTTCTCTAATAACCCTATAGAGTTATATTATATCCTTGACTGTTGACCATACTTTAAAATTTTGTTAAGTCGACCTCTGTTACATCATGTATATATAAGGAATTCTAGATTATTTTTCAAATTCTTAAATGAATTTATTTTGCTTTCTAAGCTATGATTTGTAGTGCCCATAAAATGAAGCATATGCATTGGTATGCAACACAAATATTATGAGTACAGAGTGAAATGGAAACTCAAACTGTGTTGAAAATACTAGGGTTGATGCTTTTAAGATTCTTACATGTATTCAAGGTGCAAATATAATTACAATGTAAATCATGAACTTAACCAAAAAGAAAAAGTTGTTAAATGACTCTGTTGAGGGGCTGGGGACATAGGGTGTTTGCTGTTTGTCAACGAAAAACGACAGCTTTGTGTTAAATCTAAGAGCTTGCTATAATACATGTTGTAGGTTGGCCGATTCTTTGTACTCAATATACGGTCATAAATCGCACAAGTTCGTCTTTGTGTCAATTACTTTATTCCATTCATGTTTTTGTACCAATGTGTTCCAAGATTTTTACGCTTTGGATATCATTCACAGTCCAAATTTCCTGACATAAAGTCATTATTATACACCTTTTCGCTATTCCCGGCTGACCCGAGAATCTGTCCCGCTTGAACTTTTGACGTCATACAACAATCACTTTTCGATTGTGGCGTCAGATATTTTGTATTGTGACGTCAAAATTTTACGGGAACCTGTGTGATGTCCAGTAATGGCGGACAAATAGCGATAAGGTGTATTGTATAAATAAAAAATTCCACTGGTTTTCTATTCACTGAAATTTGTGACATACCGCGATTAGCGTTCTTTGACGCCCGAATATTTCATGCCCTTCTAGTAATCAATCTATATTCTCAGAAGATAATGTTGTCATCATTGAGCCAAAGAATATGTTGACTTATATTACTCGGAAGAAAAACGAAAACCGTAATTTGAAACAGGAAGTTTTGAATGAAACGAAATTATCTGCGGTTACTGGTAACGGAAATGAACAAAATCCGGAAATCTTAAATTTTTGAAAATTAAAAAAATCGGGGCGGGCGGGGATGAAAATCTATCAATTAATTTTAATTGGCCTAAGATATCTTATCTTATATATTATATGAGATATCTTGACTTTGAAATAAATAGTAAAATGGCTTGCCATAGTTCTGTTTCAATGATGTTTTACCATATTTTTTAACCATTTTTACTTCCAATTTGAACATCTGCCCCCCTTTTCAACATGGCTGCAATAGCCATGAAAGGGCCTATTACAGAAGAACAAATTAACTAGTGGTTGATATTTTGAACAAGAGGTTTTATATTGAAATGAGAGGATAGAGAACAGCAGAAGTGAGCTGTTCTCTTAAGTTGTCTATTGTGGGAGACTAAAATATCGAAATAGGGGATCAATTGAACTTTGGGACCACAATACTTATATACCAGTTTCGTCAACAATACTTGTATATAGTTTACCAGTATGTGAAGTTTATATACATGTACATATACCACTATTGTCAACAATACTCATATATAATTTATGAATGACCCAGAAACAACAGGCATCCACACACAAACTATCAATTGAATCTTGCTGTGCCAGAATAAAACAGAAATTCAATATTATGAAGGTACTGTATGGCTAAGATTACTTTGAAAACGTAACTGACAAAAATTATTGTTACTGTTAGGACAAATTGTGCTGTCGGGTTAGAAACCAAATAAATCACGGACGTAAACATACTATTTGTGTCTAGGGTAACATTGCATTATCATAACGCTATATTTATTAAAACTTTAAGAGACTTTGGTTTTTGACTCAAGACGGAGTAAAAAAAGCGAGACTTACCTTATTGTTTCAGGCGCCAGCATCAACAATGTATTAGTTTGTGATTAGGTCATTTTATGGGGAACCACTAGTGGTAGGTCAATGATATTTGGTATGCAGTGATTAGCATTGGCACATCTCATTTCCAAGGAGATTATTTTTGCCCCGCCTCCTAAGTCATGGTTTATTGACTTTGAAACTTCTGCTTAGTTTACATGTATTACTAATTTGTGATTAGGTCAGTTTATTGGGAACCACTAGTGGTAGGTCAATGTTATTTGTCATTCAGTTGTACTAGACTACTAGCATTGGCATATCTCATTTCCATGGAGATTATTTGGCCCTGTACCTTCAGTCATGGTTTGCTCCATACTAGTTGTGCAGAATTTGCCATCCTAAATAAAATATACAATTTATCATGTTTATATGCAACATTGTATCTTTGAATTAATTTAGAATGAAAGGTTGCATTTTAACATTACATGTATTGAAATGCATTGACGTATCAATAACACAATGTAACTGTAGACACACATATCATTGTTATGTTTGTATTTAATGGATTCACAACCCAACCTTGCATTCAGGCAATTAGTCTTAAATGTACGGTAACAATAATGTTTTGTTATTGTTACGTTTTCAACCTAATTGTACATCGCCAGTGCTTGAAAGGGGTTTCAAGCACTTAATTGATTCCTATCTAGATTAAAGAATGTACTGAGACCAATGGGAGGAATACAGTCTAAGACGCAGTCAACAACCTAATGTGTATCCTCATTGCTGAGCAATACCCAGTCTAGCAGTAAATATACTGGAAAGTCCCAAAACGGGCTTTGCAGTTGTCAGATTTTGCCATCCGCATAATCCCCTATAAAGCCCCATTACATTGTAACTCTAACTAAAAAACTGATAAGTACACCTTTTAGACAAACTTAGAGTACCCATAACAGAAGCAGTATTCTTCAAAATAAGCAATTTTGTGTACAAAACCTTAAATAAATGGTACAACTTCAGTAATTACATGTCAGTCAGGGGTACTACTTGTACAAGTAATCTTTATTTACTTGAAGAAGTAAATAAAATATACTTATATAAGTTAATTATAATGTTTGAATAATCTCCCCTTAATTTTCTCAAAAATTTACTTGTATAAGTAATTTTTTTTACAATCCCACAAAAATTCTCTAGTTTGAGATGTAAAAACATGCCTTTAACAATTTTTCTCAGGTTAGCTCATAATTTTTGATTAATAGCATGATTAGAGTTCAATGTTTCATCTCATTAATTCAACAAAGAAACTGATTGCGCAAAGATCTTAAGTATTTGCGCAAGGCCTTCAAAAATTGCCTCTTGGGGGCTTGTAAATGAGCAGTGTTCTGAAGATAACAGACAAATGAGATTTTCATTGTCCATGAAATTACACTTAAATGATTAGTAAAGACATCTGCAAAGGACATACAGTTAAAAATTCTATTAGAGCAAAGAAGTCCTAAGAATTCAAGAAAAGAACATAGGATGACTTTTTACTTGTATAAGTAAAAAAATCTGAATGTCTAAGGGACATAACTAAGCCCAATTTTTTTTTACCTATACAAGTAAATAAAATACACTTGTATAAGTATCATACAAATCTACTTATATAAGTATATTAATATTTACTTCTTCAAGTAAATAAATATTACTTGTACAAGTAGTACCCCTGACTGCATGTAGATGCTTCAAAATGATATAAAACACCTGGCATGTGTCTTCAGTCAAAATGTTAGAATCCCTATTAAACAATTATTAATGTAATAATTACCTTTTAAATATATTTTGTAGTTGTTTACCATGCAGGAGGTAAAGTGGAAAGAATCGCGATATAAAGAATCCTTATCTACAGCATTATATAAATTACAACAAGCCGATTGTTTATGTGACATATGGATCTGTACCAAAACAAGAATGGTACCAGTTCACAGACTGATGTTAGAAGCATTTACTGGTCCCCTGTGTAATACCGGTTTGAAAGATGGAAGTAGTCCTATTAATAACTTTATAGATAATTGTAGTAGATTTGATCGTGTCATTGTACTAATACTTGTTCGATACCTGTACACAGGGGAAATAATAATCGATGTGGAGTTGATCAGTGAATTCATTAAACTATGCAAGTTGCTTGACTTAGACAGTGTTGTCTTAGGAGTAGAAACTGAGCTTGAATTTTTGAACAAGAATTTGAAACAGGAAGTGACATATCTTGATGATAATTCAGGTTTTTGTCCCCAAAGGGCTTTACAGCTTGCTATTCCTGTCTCTCTTATTACTAACAAAAACAATGAGTCAGAAACTTTTGAAGATTCTTGTATGCAGCAAAATAATGACTATGTTGTAGAAGTAAAGAAAGAAGTTGCTGGTGATTCTGTTACCTTAAATGTTAGAAATGGATCCAGTACACCATGTGACAACAACAAAAGAGGTCATGAAAGAGAAAAGAAGAATGAAAGCCACGATGAAACCATTTCAGTTGATGGATCGATTGATATAGATGATGACAGTGAAACTGCAAGTCCTCAAAAAATGCTGAGACTCTCAGAAAATAACCAAAGTCTTGATGACGATGAAATTGAAAAAAGACTTCAAGAGTTTGTCAGAAGAATGACTTCATCAGACCAAATTTATACGATTGAAAAGAGAATGTGCTTAAAATGTAACAAACTTTTGGAGATAAATGAATATTTGAAACATATGAAAAATGAACATTGTCTTTTTACTTGTCCCTTGTGTGATTGGTTTAGACCTCAACTTGGTCATCTATTAGATCATATGCATAGTCAGCATAAAGTTGTCATCTCATCCAGGAAAATCTGTGGCATTAAGGTAGGTACTACTACAGTTATATGTCATCAATGGTCATAGGGCAATACTCAGGCATCAATCTATAACACATGTTCAATCATAGGCCAAATGTAGGTCCCAGTGCAGGGTTTAAGCTAGAATTTTGAGGGCTTTAGTCACTTTTGCGCGGGATGAAAATCAACCTTATTTTGGGTAACAGCAAGGGACCTAGGATGTATATTACTATCTATACATCTTTGTCAGACTTTGAAGGACTTAGGCATACTAGGCAGTTACTGCATGATTTGACTGCTGTGGCACTTTAATACGAAGATTAGGATATAAGATCTAGAAATCTAGTTTACAATTTCACTTCAGTTAGTTTCAGGGTACTTTCCTAATCTGATAAATCAACAAAAGTTGGGATCCATTTTTTTTTAACCAGGAATCACAGCATAAATGAACTTGTAAGGACTATTTCACTGCATTATTCATCATATTCATACTCATTATCCTTAAAAACGTTTGAAAGCGATATTTAGAATTAATTCTATAAAGTTGGAACCAAGGATTTGTACAAATCCTTATTGGAAAAATTCTAATGACTTTAAATTGTAAATTTATTATGATTAGATCACGTTTACTTTCGATTTCCAAATGAAATGAAAACGAAAGTGACAAGTGGATAATAAATTTAGAATGAATCCGGATTCATCTACGGAGTGGTTCGTGTTTTAAAAGGCAGGAAATTATCATTTTTTAAATTAAATTTGCTAAATAAGAACTATATTTGTCTCTCTCGTTTAGTTTGATACTTAATTATTTCGTATTTTACGTTTTAGTGTCTTTAAATTCATTGGAATACTTTCGCGCGTGCGCAGTTCATCCTGAAGGCTGGTTGACTCGTGAAAACATTTCTGAATCTATGAATAAAGTTCTATCTTTTTAATCGAAATTGTCGAAAGTTTTTGATTAAAAGTTATATCAAATATGATGAAAAAACGTTCATTTGATGAAACTACGACAAACGAACTGCAAATTGTGATCGTTTGAGAAATATTGAAATTAAAATGCGAACTGTCCGAGGGAAAACAATTTTCTTCAAATGACGAAACTACGACAAACGAACTGCAAATTGTGCTTGTTTGATAAATATTGAAATTGAAATGCCGACTGACTGATTTTACTGGGGAAAATAATTATGATGATCAATTATGAGGTTGATAAATAATTAACGGATTAGTGACCCAGGCCATCCAATGGCGATAAGCGGATTATCTGTAACCACAACTTATAACACCTGTTGTAAATGTTAATTAGCTGGGGGTCATAAACTTGTCAGAAACAATAAGACAGGTAGAATTATAGTATTTTCATGCGAAAATATTTTTACTCTTTCCAAATTCAAGTGACGAAATTGATTTGGAATACATGTACTTTCGTCATTTTGAAAAGCGTTTCGTAAATGACGAAAATGACGAGCGCTAGCAAAATCACTGCCAGTCTGACGTGTCAGAGAGAAAATTAATTTAAAATTATGTGCAGAATTTACAAATTTATAAAGTTTCTCCTGAAATTTTCCTACCTAATTCATGGAAAATTACATAAAATTTTCCCAATGTTTTCAGCACAGGCTTTGAAAATAAAATGTCAAATTAACCCCTGATACAGTAACGGTACATGACAGAGTGATTCAGTTTGTCATATGTTTATAACTCTCAGTGTTTTCATCATGTTCATGTGATGAGGAAGGGTGAACATGCTGATTTAGAGTGATACAACTGATTAATGACTCCGTCTTGTGATTCATATGGAATAGATGTATATAATCATGATAATCAACTGTTAATTGGAGCAATTTTGAATGTATCATGAGCAATTAACTGCATTCACTTTAAAAGATTAAAACAAATAAACACTAGAGCCACTTTTGGAGTTTCTTCCTGGAATATTCTTGTAAGGGGAAATGTACATCATGTAAACTGTACATGTATGTTTCAAAAAATTTGCATATTCCTATTCCAACAATTTTCTACATGCATGTTATTCTAATCTTGCTAACCAGTTGTACATGTACATGTACCTTATAAGCTTTTATACAACCATAGTAAATTAGATATAGACATTTTTGCATTATGTTATTCTATTTTTAGACTGTAGACATGTCTGAAGAATGTGAACTAATGTATATAACACAAGGCGAACCTTTCCAAGAACACATTCAACTGTAAGTATTCTTATCTTTTAGATAAAGTTTTTTTGTTTGTTTTTGTAAACTTCTGTGATACGATTGCTGTTTTATGTTAAATGGTGCAGTGATGTCCATGAAAATTGTTTCTTACCCAATGGGAAGCATTTGAAAAGTCTTTGGTTCAGCATTTTGAAATAAGAAATATGAAATTCTAATGCAACATCGTTTGTAACGTTCATTTTGATTGGATAACATCACCAATTTTCATGGCATCAATTCACATTTGATGCTATGAAAACGTAGGAGCAAGCGCAGATGGCGTATGACAGATTTTAAATATATGATTTGACGTTGTTTTCTGTCAGTTTCATTAGAATGGAGATAACAATATTGTATTTTAAGCTCCGACGGCATCAATTGGTGATTTGATGGTCGCAAATACCCGTTTACTGGCTCCGATAACGCGTGGCCAGTAAACTTAATTTGCGACCATTAAATCATCAATTGATGCCGTTTATAATTAAAATACAATACAGTTATCTCCTAAATGGCAGTGTCTAAAACTATCTGTGTAATACTAATAATGGGTTATCATTTTTGTAAATCATGCATCCCAAGCATCTTTTTACATGTAAATTAATGATTCTTATCATAACTCTCTTTACTTCATTTCATTGATTTTGGATACAGATTAGTGTTCTTCCCAGAATTTGCGAAAAGCACCATGGGATTTAAAATAGCAAGTTTCACTAAAATTACAGCACCATATTTGATAATACATTCTATTATAAATTCTATTCAGATCATGCAGATAACATTGATATGGAAAAAAAATTTAACACCATGGTAACTTTTTCTTTATTTTGAAGTATCAGCAAATTTATCTCTTAAAGTTAAGCCTCAGAAGAGATACAATCACAAGCAAAGGTCAAAAGTTAGAACATGACATTGACCTTCAACTTTGACCTTGACCTGCATTTTCAAGTTTTTGCCCAAGTATTTCAGATCAGAAGACCCTAGGTTTTTACATCTTACAGCTTCTGGGTTACTGCTTATTAAAAATTTAAAGGAGATATTATTAGAGTTTACTGGATCAAAATTGACCAAAACATCTAACACTCTAATTTAAAAAAGAATTTTCACACAAAAACAGTGTCATGGGAGATAAATATAAAGTGTTTACTTGAAGGGGAGAGTTTTCAAAGCACAAATACTGTTTGATATGCATATATATACCAAATATGTCGCCAACATGTTGCAAAACAAACAAAAAAGTGGTGGAAGAAGAAAATTAGATATAGGAATATACACGTAATCTTGACCATACATTGAAAAGGGGAGATAATCAAACTTACTTTCTCCAAATTGCGATATGTAATAGTAATGTCATGTAAGCCCAACTCCTTTTGAACAGCTTGACAGATATTGATAAAACTTTACATAACTTCATAAGCAGGGACTGAGGATGGCGATTAACTCTGTATGTCAAAGATAGAAAATGATTTGCAAAAAATGTTGTTTAATGTCTTGGATACACAAAGATGCAGTCATTTTAACCGACTTTCGTGAAACTGGTTAGAGCTGACACCTGCTGGATGCAATATCAACATACTAAATTAGAGCACAGAATGGCTTATGTAGGTAGGTATGCAGCTTACATAAAATATTATTGTGTGGCCAGACAGCTTACAGCTGGTGTTACTGTGTTATTTTTCAATTCTGTTGTCTTTCATCGTTGTCCCCATCACATTTTTTTGTTAATCTGCAAAGTTCTTTGAAAACAGCTTTACAAAATTCAACAACAAATAAAAAAAAAATGAAATTGTGAACCTGCTATTTTGATTTAAGTGATTTTTTTTGCCAAAACATGGATTTTGTAGTCATTTCTGTAAAACCTTAGCTAAAGTCTGAGGTTCCTTTGGAAAATAATAATGTATCCATGTCAGAAGGGGGATGTGAAATATGATGCTTGTTGTAGGGTGAGCACTACCCTTGTCGCACTTTAAAAGAACACTTGCAACAGCTCTTTGAGGGTTCCACATTGGGTTGTTGCCTATCAAATTTCTACCCCTATCCAACATACCCCCATTTTCCAATTACTATCCAAATTCCCCCTCCTTCATCTTACCTACCTGTATTAAATTTTGTTAAGTTTTTATCCCTATCCATCGTACCGATCTTGTAAGTTGAGCCAATTGCAACTGATTTTTACAGTTTGTTCTCATGGTGTACTGTTACACTACTGTCCCAGGTTGGGGATATGGTTGAGCGTTCATTTACATGTTTGACACCGCCACATTCTTCATGTGCCTGTCCCTAGTCAGGAGCCTGTAGTACAGTGGTTGTTGTTGGTTCATATCTGTCATTTTTGTTTTTTGAGTACTAGTATTGTCTTGTTATAAATTAGGCTGTTAGTTTTCTCATTTGAATTGTTTCACATTATTCATATCGGGACCTTTTATAGCCAACTATACGGTGAGGGATTTTCTCATTGTTATAGGCCATACAATGTTTTAACAATATGTGTTTTTGGTTGAGAATATGAAATAAAATGAATTAAAAAGTAAAACTACTTTCACGCATACAAAATGTTGTGATAGTTGTTTGGTTGTATGAATGAAGTCACCTACAATTTCAATGATAAACTGATGGGGATGGACATGAACAGGCAACATTGCTGCATTGATACGTGACGTCATTGCCTAATATTTTTCGAGTATCAAGTCCTGTTCACGATCTAAACAAATATTAGGCAGTAGGATCAAAGGAAAATTGTACAAATTGCAGATGAACATGATAAACCAGAAGAGTAGTCTAACCTGTAAAGCAGCAACCAAACTCAATTGAAGACAGATTGACACAACCTTGGGAAGAAGAAAACCAAACAACAGCAAATAACCGTCTACAAAACGCTAACTATGGACTATATAATCCATATCTGTTTTCCCATCTCCTTCAGAGTACCTCTTTATTTAAAAAACAATAATATTCAATTTTTTCTCTTGCAGGAATTCAAATATACCAATAGATGACTCTATTGAATTTGATAGACTTCCGGATGTAGTAGTTGAAAATCCATCCATCCAGGAAATATACACATGTACACTTTGTAAATATATAACAAGTATTAAATGTTATTATTACAAACATTTACGTAAAGTACATACTTGTCATACAGAGACAATTAACAATTTAGGACACAAGTTAAATGTTGACCCGTCAATAAATTCCGAACAAAGGTCAAAACCAAAAATATATCTATGTAGCTCATGTGGAAAGTCATTCAAATCACGGTATGTAATGTGTGTGGAAAAAGTTTTGGAACTTTATATAACTTTAAAGGTCACATTTCGTTACAAAACAATTTGTTAATAGAAAAATGTGACCAGTGTGATGCTTCATTTCAGTACCGCAAGTCTCTTTTACAGCATAAGAAGGCGCATCATAGAAATAGCCAGAAAATACTAGAAGAAGAAACAAAATTTGAGTGTAACATCTGCCACGTTATATATGGATCAAAAGATGCGCTTCGAGAACATACTTATGTTGAGCACAATTTAAAAAGAAAGACCTGTGAATATTGTGGAAAGGACTTTAAATGGAGATCTTCATTGGCATATCATCTAAAAAAGTGTACGAAAAATGTGCACAATAGCATAATGTTTGATTAAAACTACCTAAAATAAATTTGTTTTTTGTTAATGTTGTTCATTATAAACCCAAAAATATGAATATTAAGCTCAATGTCAGCTTGTTCTTAAACATGCTAAAACTTTGATATTAAGAGCTTGTGTTTGGTAGTAATGTCCTGCCTCTGATAGTAGAGAAAACTTTGATATTAAGAGCTTGTGTTTGGTATAATGTCCTGCCTCTGATAGTAGAGAAAACTTTGATATTTAGAGCGTGTGTTTGGTAGTAATGTCCTGCCTCTGATAGTAGAGAGGTATTGTGTTTTGGTCTTCTTAAGTTTGTCAACCCATAATCATGATAATTCCGATCGTCCATCAATCCTGTATCAGCATAATTTTTTTTGTCATGGTTGTTTACCATGAAGTTGAGTCACAACAGTTTGAAACTTGTTGGTAATTTGTACATACATGTTCATCATGATGTGAACTTTTTTACTTGTATACCAAATTACGATGTTACCTCAATTTCATGATTCACTGAACTTGGAAATTTGATAGTCAAATTTTGATATTTTTTTTTAACTGATGAATGGACTATTTTTGCAGTTAACATAAACTTAATGTTTTGATTGAATTTTTTTAAACACCAATAACTTTTCTTCCCAACTTCAACACTATAGGACAATGTATGACAAGGTCACCTATTTCACTCCCGATTTCTTTCGAAAATTACAATGTAGTAATTCGGTATTCAAGAGCTGGCAGCTGCTACTCACACTTTATGAAACATCACCAGTGTCTGAGCAGAAAGTTGATGAACCAGGGTTATGTCAAAGAACGTCTCGTCCTTTTTCTGAAAAAGTTCATCGGAAGATACCAAAATCTTGATGATAAATACTCCGAATCAACTTCGCAAATGATACATGGTGGTCTCAAAGTATAGATTTTAGGTACTAACGTTGTTTTTCATCTTAATTACGTGTTATAGTGTTCATTTTGTTGTCTTTGTATATGTTTAACTGTTACTGTTACTGTTTAGTCCATTTATGGTAATATCCTTTTGGCGTGGCTCGGTATTTATACATCCCTCCATTGTTTTATTGTGCTATTGTCATTTTTTATATTCTTGTCTTTCATTTTTGCGTATGTTCTTTGTCTATAAAGTGTATATATGCCATTTTATTTTTCTTTGTTGACATAATTGTTTATTTTTATAGTGATAAAGATTTTAACACAATATTGACTGCTTCACCCCAATTTTTGACAAATTCCCCTATTTTTTCTGTTTGTTTTGCTCACATATTGTTGTCAATATAATGGAATTCTATGCAACTGCCATACTATTGAGAGGTTTAGGTAGCTATAAAACCAGGTTTAATCCACCAATTTCTACATTAGGAAATGCCTGTGCCAAGTCAGGAATATGACAGTTGTTTTCCATTCGTTTGATGTGTTTGAGCTTTTGATTTTGCCATTTGATAATGGACTTCCCGTTTTGAATTTTCCTGGGAGTCAGTATTTTTGTGATTTTACTTTTGAATTACATATTTGTTCTAGGCCTTCAAACATATTGCATTTAGGGAGAAATGCAAAAATTCAAAAGAGCATAATTTTGAGATCTTTGCATTAACATTTTAACTTGTTAACATTCAAAACTTGAAGAATCGTTATATTGGTTGGTAAATGAGTTTTAGACTTGATATAAAAATAAGGATATGTGGTATGATTGCCAACGAGACAACTACCCACCAGAGTCTAATTGTAAACAGCTGTAAGTAACCGTACTGCAGTTTATTTTACTATTTAGATTAATTTTAATGAATCTGGTATATGACAGGACATTTGTTGTGCTGGCAAAAGATATATTTGATAATGCAGAAATATTTGAACAAAATAATTATCGAAATAAGAATCTATGAATAGGGTATGGAGAAGATACCAAGGATGCAATCAAAATCATATGTCAAATGAAAACAGACACAAAACACTACACATAAAAACGTTTGATTGTCACAATCGATGGGAAAGGGTGCTCTGGCGTTCTTTAAGTGTTTGCAGTATAACAGTCCCTGCAGATGTGCCACTATTGTGCCAAAAATTCGGCGGTAAATTGCTTTTTATAATATTTGTTATCACATCTGAGAAAATGAGGGCAAAGTTATGGCTACGACAAGAGGAACATGAAATATACATTTATAAATTTGGTGCGTCAGGAACATTCAAACCTAGGACTAATGTATAAACGTTTGTAGTGTAAAAGTCCCAGGTTTAAAGAAAAAGCAAATTATATATAGGTACATGTATGTGAAGATCTATACAACCAAAGGGGGAATAAACACAATAACCTAATTCATCTAAGGTCAACTTTGCCTGAGATAGATGGTATTTTAGGTTTTATAATAATTTCTGAACTTATCAACGGAAAATGTTGGAAAGGTTTGACTGTCTACTGGACTGATACAACCCTCGGGACAATCAATCTATCAGCAGCAATATTGACCTAGTGTTCACATTGCCTTACTCCCACGAAAATTAAGTACTTTGATGTGCTATAAGGTAGCTGGAACACTGTATCATGTGTTGGTTGAACTAGTTAATTTTGAAAACCTGGTTATTGATATTGAAAAATCCGAACAGTGTACACATTAAAAAATGTGCAACATGATTTACAATCTCCATAAAACTGTTCTTGGCCTTTTAGATACAAGAATAGTCGTCTGATCTGTAATTTACCAATTGTCACATGATGGCAGAGTGTGGATTCGCATGGTAATACATGCATTCTCTATGTGTCTGTCCTAAACCAGGAGCATGTAATTTACTGGTTATCGTTTGTTACTGTATATCATATTTGTTTTTCGTTTGTTGTTTTGCACATAAACCAGGCCGTTGGTTTCCTCGTTTGAATTGGTTTACATTTGTCATTTGGGGGCCTTTATTACTTACTATGTGGTATGAGTTTTGCACTTTGTTGAAGGCCGTACCATGGTGACCTATAGCTAGTAACTTCTATATCATTTGGTCTCTAGTGGAGATTTATATCATTGGCAATCATAGCATATCTTCTGTTAACTCCTTTTGTTGTTCATGCAATTCCCTCAGGTTTGGTTTTTACCTCGATTTTGGTATGATCTGATCGGATTAACGAGATCTGAACATTCATCGGTTAAATACTCATGACTCTTATATATTTAGCTTTGAAAATGTTGACGAAAATGTTGATAGATTTTTTGCAAATATCAAGCGTTTTGTTAAAATTAAATGTTTCTCTGTCATATGTCTACATGATTAGACTTGTCATTGTAATTGGCCTCTGTGAAGGATTGCCACAACTACGTGACAGTCCAGTCGTCCATTTGTATTTTTTTTTTTTTTGGTGTTAAATTCTTATGAAGTATTTCCCCCTGAAATATCCTAATTCTGGCCACAATCTCCGAAAAAGATCTTAGTTTCAAAGTTGCACCCACTAATCCCGCTGACTAACTAACATTGCTGCTTTTACTAAACCTTATTAACATTGTAAAAATTGTATTTTAGTAGCCTGTCATGTAGAGTTTTTTTTTTTCTGTTACGTGATAATTAGTTTCATTAATAAATCAAACTTCATTTCTGTACATTTCCGATCTAGATCATGTAGATGGCGCTGATGGATTTAGAAAATTTTAATTTATCAAGTTACCCACATTTTTTAACTCTTAGGATATTATGTTTTTAGACATTTTGAATATTGTACAAGCCCCTTACTTCAAATTAATTACAGGTTCGTTTTTTTTTTTAATTCTTAAACTGAATAAGGTAACATTGTCAACAATTGAATTTCTTGCAAAGATTGACGGGTTGCTGGGTTCAGACGATTTCGATTACTTTTTTTCAAATTTATAAAATCGAAATTATAAAGCAAAAAAAAAAATATCAAACTCACAGGGATAGCATTAGGCATTTAGGTTAAAAAGTCATCAGAGATACCAGGTTGATAATTGTGTACGCTAGACGCACGTTTGGTTTACGTTAGACTCATGAGTGACGCTCGAATCAAATCAAATCAAATACGAAGTTGAAGAGCATTTAAAACCGAAAATTCCAAAAAAAGGCTAAGGCAGTATATACCTGGAGGTAGAAAAACCAATACAATCTTTAATGATTGGTAATTGTCAAATTACAAACCATCGAACACTGTGAGATACAGTTAGAGGGAAGATCAATTTCTGTATATTAACTAGGTTTATTATAACTAATAGTATAACAGTTATAGAAAATTTTACATCAACTTGTTTGACACCATGACTACTTTTATGTCCCTCAGCATAATCGTTACTCCAATTTACAATGTCAGATTCATATATAATTTCAAGTATTTAACAACTATTTTTTTCTGATCAAATTATTAAATTCTGATACATTAAACATTCAGCTGTGCAATATTGATTAATTTAGCAAATTTTCATACTTACCCCTTCTCTACCCCCATCCCACAATATTATATTATATATTAGAAGTAAAGCGGCATTGTCCTACAAATATCAATGCTATGTTGTTTCAACATTGCCTTCCGCCACATTGTGTTCCTTAGAATAACATTTTGATATTATGTAAACGTTTTAAATGGTTGAAAAATTATAACATTAAAATCCTGTGATACTCAATCCAGAAGGTTTCAAAAAGCTTTCTGATTTTGAATCTGTGAGTGAAACAAATCAAGGAGAATCGCCATGCCTGTTTTATTATTTAAAATGCTATTTTAGTCAGTTGAATTACATATAATTTTCATCCAATTAACAAAACATCAACACTAAAATTTTGTATATTTGATTTAGATCCGACAGTGATGAACCTCATCCACCAAGCATCTTATCCAGTACTTTGAAACTTATCAAAAGAAAAGATGCAAACACAGGTATGAATTCAGAACTAAAAAACTAACTGGAAGCACTATATGTTTGCCTAATTTAATAATTGTTTCTCGTCATTGTTGCTTAAAACCAAATACTGGACATTAAAAGTGCAAACAATAACAGAAAAGAAAACCAAAAAGAAAGCATAAACGGAACAGCTTTGTATCAGGGAGATGACAATGTCTATTCCAAGTGTTTCATATAACAATTTAGAACTAACACATAAATGTCAGCACCTGAAGCAGTAAACGTTGAATATTATTAATGAGCAATGCTGAAGTAAATACAATCAATAGGGTAATCTTTTACAAATGGTTTATCTTAATGAAGACGGAAATGGTCAACAGAAGCGCTGGTACTTTGTATAGACAAACATGGATGTATAAAATCAACTTTGCAAAAAAAATGGTACCTTTAATGTTATTATTGCCACTTGGTCGATACCTTTGTTGTTGGACTGTTAGTCCCAGATGTTATTACCAGCCCAGTAGCATGAACATACGGATATTATGTTATTGAAATTTGCTGTTACAAAATTTTGGAAATTATTTTAAATTAAGGAATATGTCTCCCTCATGGGAAGCTGTGATTCCTTGCCCGGCTTTGGCTATTCTTTTTTGGTCTTTTTAGTTTATAAGCTCTTCATGTTTTAATAAGATTTGGTTCTTCAAATAGTTCGGCCTCGAGCATCACTATAGAGACATTTATTGTCGAAATGCTCATCTGATTCAGTAAAGTTAGTACCATTAATGTTGTTGATGCATGTAACTGTTTCCATATGTATCTGGAGATTTTTTTTGCATCCACATCAACATCCACCTCATATCTATTTTTTTCCGCAATGAACATTTGAATCAAATTTTAGATAACTCAAATATACATATTCAGTGATAGTTCATATCGAATAATTGACTACTGGAAGCATAGACGTGCTACTTGTTTTTGCAGTAGATAACAAAGGGAAAAAGTTAACAAATAAATAAATGTCTCTTGTTTTTATTTATTCAAATATATATTTACAAATAGTTTCGGTTTTAGTATGGTGGTTTTATGAAAAGGATGTTGTGAGTATAAAGTAAGGAAAATTTAAAAAGACATAAATTATCAGATAAAAAAACTCCGTATAAATTATTCTCGTCAATGCTGTAAAACACACTAAAACAAGTGGTACTTATTTTAAGAAAAGTGTGTTAATTATATCAGATTGTAATGTCAATGTGAGTTTGATCGATTATATCGCATGTCATAACCTTAAGAAAATTACACAGGGAGACGGCTTAAGGAAATCTAGATACTGCTATTTATATGTTAGTGTGTGAATCTTATGATAATTGTTGTATATTTTTGCATTTGAATAATTATGACAGGTCTTGATCTTTTTTTCTCACAGATAATTCACCAACATCTCAACTGACCACTTTATCCAAAAGTAACAGAGAATTATGGAAAACTAAAATTAACGGTGATCGAACGTCTACTGGCACTGAGAGAACAAGACAATCATGTACAGGAAAGATTCCAAATAAAACAACTACATCATCAGAAAATCAGGACTTCGATATTTTAGATGCACAACCATTAGAAAATTTAGAACAAATATTAGAGATTGCAAACATTCTACCCTCATTATCTGGAATTCAACAGGATGAAACTTCCATTGTAGACACGAAGGACCCTTTGAACACTGCTAAGGATTTATCAAAGGGTAGGACAAACATGGACGAAAAAGTAAAGTGCAAATTATGTGATATTATTGTTGGTAAACGCTCTTTGCGACGTCACGAGCGTACTCACGGCCATTATTTGCAGTGCCCATCTTGTCCTGCTAAATTCACAGAAGTATGGGCATTAAAAAATCATGTTTTACGACATACAGAACCTTATGTTTGTGATACCTGTGGTAAAACCTTTATGTCTAGTTCAGGGTTGCATGTGCATATAAGGAGACATAAAGGAAATCAACGTTTTTTATGCCAGGATTGCGGAAAAAGCTTCAGTACACATATGCACTACCAAGGGCACAGAAATAGTGTGCATCTGAACAAGCGTGACCACATTTGTGACCATTGTAATAAAGGGTTTTCGTATAAAACATCCTTAGACAGACATAAAAGGGAATGCAGGTTTTCACCTGAAGAAGAAAAACAAGAATATAGGTGTGAATACTGTGGTACAATTTCCAAAAGTTTACGTTTCCTGCAGGAACATATAAAGGGGAAGCATAAGAAACAACAGATCATTTGCCATTGTGGGAAAACATTTGCATGGACTAGGTCTTATAAACGACATCAGAAATCTTGTATATTAAAGTAAGAGACAAGTCTTATAAAAGTCTTCAAAAATTTAATGTAATACAGGAATGGACTAGGTCTTATAAACGTCATAAAACATTTTGTGTTATAAAGAAATGGACTAGGTTTTATAACGTCATCAGACATCTTGTATTTTAAAGTAAGAGACTAGGTCTTATAAACGTCCTGACAAATCGAATGGACTAGCTCTTATTTATAACGTCATAAAAAAATCTTGTTTTATAAAGAAATGGATTAGATCTTACAAACGCCATAAAAATCATTTAAAATAAAGCAGATAGCTTGTAGGTCTTATAGATGTCATAAAAAATCTTGCATACTCCTGCCTTAAACTATTTGAAAAAAATATGATACTGAGTAAGACAGTTAAGTGATTTTTCTGTAATAAATTGCAGTATACTAGAGCACAACTAAATATAAGGGAGACTTAGCCATTTGTGACAACATGGCTGCATAGTATATTATTTGTGATTTAATGCACCTCTTCAGGAAAGAGCACCTTTGTGACGATTATCACTTTCCATTTAGTAGTACTAATTTTGATATAATATAAAGGCAAACAAAGATTGCATTTATATTATATCAAAATGAGTGATAGGAAAACTTAGTGAATCATAGTTGTGACAAAAAAATTATATATCTAACAAATTAATGAATAAATTTACTGAGCATTATATTAACATTAAATAAATATTCACACATTTATCATTTATAGTAGTATCATTTGATTTATTTGCTGTAATGGTTGTATAATCATTTTGAATTCCAAATAAAATATGATGCAATTGTGATCTTTTCATTTTTACCTCAAGGTCTATTAAAGTATTATAGTCTCTAAGTATAACAGCAGACATCACTACTTCGGCTTTGACATTATTTATTATTATTGAAATTACCTCTACTTGTCTTTACATGTATAAAAGACTTGCAGTTTCACCTGGACATCGTTTACAATAAACAAATAAATTAGCATCTGTCGTCCATTACTGTTACAAACACATCTTCTCCTTTAAAACTACTTGGCCAATCGGAAACAAACTTGGCCACAATCATCATTTGAAATTAATGTAAGAAATGTGTCCAATGACCCCTCCTACCAACCAACATGGCCGACATGGCTAACAATTCAACATAGGGGTAAACTCCAAGTTTTGTCTATTATCTTGAAAACCGGCCATTTATAATCAGTGTGCAGTTGCAGTAGGCATAATGGTCTAAGTAGTTCATTTACAGTGATCACTAGCCTGTCAGCACTGAGGTTGTGAGTTCGAAACCCGCATGTTTGACAAGATGCGTTCGACTCCGACCGTAATTGACTAGAATCGCAAGTTTTTCCAGCCAGAGGTTGATGGTTCTCTCCTGGTAATCCGGCTTCACACACCAATAAAATTGGCTGCCATGATATAACCAAGTGTGCTGAAAGTAATGTTAAAACAACAACAATAAATCAATCAAGCTGTTGCAGTAGCACTTATCAGTTTCAAGCAAAATGTGAAGACATTTTGAGGTGACAATGGTCTTAATTAGGGATGTCAACGAGTACTCGAGTATCGCTCGGTAGCACCGAGTATCGAATACCAAAATGATACTAGACTAATCGGTTTCCTGTTAGAAGTTTGGTGCTTTCTTAAGCTTAAACAAAAATATATTTATTGAGAGCGCCTTCCGGGAAATCCAATATTAATCAAAGTTAAAATACGTTTTGAATGTTTGCGTTTAATTGTCATTTAAAATTCCTCCGAACAGAGGTAGGCTATGAACAAGAGCACCTTTCCAAGGCTTACACTCTTAGCTAATCTTAGTCATTCCCCACCTCTGTACCGTCAGAGCAAATATTTTCATCAGCAGGACTGTTAATTACGTAACAAAGTTGAGAAATCGTCTCGTCCTAGAAAAAATTGACAAGATAATATTTCTAAATAAGAACAAATTCGTTGCACCCTGTGTCGACCCTCAGAAAATGATTAAAGGCATCAGTAAGTTCTAATCATCACCCCTTTGTTGATCATTAAATGCGTTTTTTTACGGTTCCCAAATACTGTTGTTTGAGTAATCATTTTTCTAAAGATGTTTATTAATTAATTGATTAGATTATTGCCAGTTCTCTTAATTGGTACAAGTAGTAAATGAGCTATTAATTATGGTATAAAATTCCTGGAACTATTATCTTGTCCTAGCCTAGGCTAGGTAATAATGTTAAGGGTTTTACGTCCATAGGATAACGACACAACAATTCATAAAATGGGTATAATTTTGTGTTTCCATTTTGTAGATGTTTTTTTTCCGAGCGAGTACTCGAGTATCGCTCGGTAAATCCAACGAGTACTCGATTAGTAAATCTTTACCGAGTTGACATCCCTAGAATGAATATGTTCAGCATGTACGTTTTATGTAATTTGGATCATTTGGCAATTATCTTGCAATTAAGAATTCTCTTAATATTGCATTAATGTTGAAAAGGAAACTTTTTAATATAAAAAGGAGGTGTATAGACAATTTCATACGAAACATAAACTTACTGTCCTAACAACACGCACCCAAATCCACAAAAGACATCTCGTGCACTATATTTTATGAACATGATGAAATAAAAATAAAGTTTTATCAAATTATACCATCATTGTTACAATAGTGACAAACTTTTTCCTCTTCTATATGTACACTGTCTACCTACTTTGTAACACACTTGGAAAGTAAGGACTTTAGAAAATGTATATACCATGTTCGCAAACATTCAAATATTCCCTGTTAAAAGACATGCAATACAATTTCGAAAGTAATTATACAATGTGATGTATGTTTACACAGTTTTGACTGCTGGATCTCAATTATTGTCACATTAACTAATCTGTTTGGTTTGCTTATAAAACCAGGTTTAATCCAGCGTTTTGTTCGGAAAATGCCTGTACCAAGTCGGGAATATGGCAGTTGTTTTTGACTTGGTTATAAAACAATACATTACAAGTACCTTAATTGCAGTTCACTTGTTAACCTACTATTAATACAATAATTCTTCCTCATATGTAATGATAACATGTGATCATATTTTAAAGTATCCTAATAGTGAATTTATAGAAATTAGAAGAAATGCCAATAGTAAGCTTTGTGTTTGTGTCGGTTTTAATCATAAGCTATTCATTGTATGGAGTGAAGGGAAGCAATGTCTGTTTGGATCGCACGGGGTATGGCATACATGTTTTATATAAATGCATTCATTAAACAAACTTCACAATATCTTTTAAATATATGTGTCTTATAATTAACTTAACTTACTTTTTGAATATCTTAATTGTCTTTGTTTTATAACTAAAATGGCTTACATAGCTTTAATTTGATCCCATATGTATATACTAGTATACATTCTCATTGTGTTAACAGTTTTCTAAACGGATATAAGTTTGGAGGATCTCAAAACAATTCATATGCATATTCAGTAATACGATGTGTATGAATAATGCATGCTGTCCTATTTGATAATATAAGTACCAAAAATAACATTTGTACATTTTAATGTCAAAATGTGTCATTTTTCAAAGCTCAGAGAGAATTATAATGTATAAATACTTCGAGAATATGTATGATTGTCAATGCGACGACTATCCAGCAGAGTGAATGTATAGATATAAGCAACTATAGATTACCATGAATTCTTCAAAAAAGAGCAGAACTGAAAGCTAGCTCAAGTCATATTACAACTAATAAATAAATCATGTTCTAGTCGCTTTCACTATGGTAGAGTTAACGTTCATTGGCTAGCATGTGGCAAGTAGGAGTAAATCATTAGAATGATGTATCAGTTTAAAGTGAAATTTATCTGCGATCGCGATCTTTACTGAATGTTCCTGAAAAATCAAGTAAACGATCAATTGCTACAAAATTTTGAATAATAATTTCTTTGAAATTGTGGTTGAGAACATACTTCAAATAAGCATGATCACGCCGTTACTGAATTTAGAAAATGGGACAAGCATTTAAAATTAATTTTGTTCAACCTTGACCTATATAGCTTCAAAACATTTGGGAAACGATAGATCTGTGATCCATTTGTAGAACAATAGATACTCGGTTAGCGGATGCATATTTTTGAAATCATTGTACTTTTAATGTCTCCATATTTCCTGTCTATTATTCGTGATTTAACCATTGACGTCGGCACCAATATTAGTATTGTTATATCTATTTGCGGAATACAGTTCATGTCCGTATACCGAAACCACAACATGCACAAGGGTGACTGAGCTGTAGAATTTTGGTCACCTTAGTCTTATTCCAACCGATAGTTTAACCTATGCCAAAGTGGGTCATCCGTTTGGCTCTGCGAGATGTATAAATTCACAACCACGTCCAGTCAGAATGTGGATTTCAAATCTGATGACTCATGTTGAAAGAACGCCACACACTCTTCACGTTAAGAAAACCCTTGAAAAACATTTTTGAGGGGTTCGTCGGTGGCAAAATTTCTACCCCGAACAAACATTCTATTGTCTTCAAGTGGTAGTCCAAATTTCCCGCTCTTCACCCTTGTCGTCCCGTCTGTTATAATTGTTAATAGTTTCTCCTCCTAAATATGTATGAAATAATCGCCATTGGAAGTTAAACAAGCAACATTCAATCGATCAATCCTTATACTGAAAATTAGTTTACCGCACATTTATGTTGTTCAATGTCATAACACTGAATTAATCCTTTATATGTAGCATTGCTACCGAGTAATGAGACTGAATACAAGTAAGCTTTCCTTTGTTGATTGATTAATTGGTTCCTTCTCAACATCTTGCATATTCAGGACTATAAAATATTGACACGACAACAGGGAGATTATGCAAAGTCGAATTTGTTACGGGTGGGACATTCTGACTTACACTAGAAATGAGGGTATGTTGGATAAGACGATTTTTGTCGAGCCTTCGACTTTTGTCGAAAAAGCGAGACATAGCGATCCTACATTCCGTCGGCGTCGGCGCCGTCGTCGTCGTCGTTGTCGTCGGCGGCGTCCACAAATATTCACTCTGTGGTTAAAGTTTTTGAAATTTTAATAACTTTCTAAAACTATCCTGGATTTCTACCAAACTTGGACAGAAGCTTGTTTATGATCATAAGATTATATTCAAAAGTAAATTTTGTAAAAAAAAAAATCTATTTTTTCCGTATTTTACTTATAAATGGACTTAGTTTTTCTGCCAGTTAACATTACATTCACTCTGTGGTTAAAGTTTTTGAAATTTTAATAACTTTCTTAAACTATCCTGGATTTGTACCACACTTGGAAAGAAGCTTGTTTATGATCATAAGATAGTATCCAGAAGTAAATTTTGTAAAAAAAAAATCCATTTTTTCCGTATTTTACTTATAAATGGACTTAGTTTTTCTGCCAGTTAACATTACATTCACTCTGTAGTTAAATTTTTTAAAATTTTAACAACTTTCTTAAACTATCCTGGATTTGTACAACACTTGGACAGAAGCTTGTTCATGATCAAAAGCTAGTATTTAGAAGGAAATTTTGATAAAATTTTGTTCCATTTTTTCCGTATTTTACTTATAATTGGACTTAGTTTTTCTTCCAGTCAACATTACATACAGTCTGCAGTTTAAGTTTTTAAAACATTTATTAGATTCATAAATTATCCTGGATTTTTACCAAACTTGGACAGAAGCTACTTACAATCAAAAGATAGTATAGAGAGGAATATTTTTATTAATTTTTTTCCTCATTTTTGTTGAGCCTGCGATTAACAGCAAAAGTAGGCGAGACACTGGGTTCCGCGGAACCCTTACGAATTTTTGCTTTTCAACAGTGTTTCTACGGTACACACTAAAAATTGTTGCATGGCCGGATTTTAAGCATACACGAAGCGTAGCACTCTCATTTCACGAAGCTTTGGATTTCAATTCTTTATTACAAACCGAAGTAGCTGCGTATCATATATTTCAACGGACATCTTGCTTAAGCATTAGTTGAATTTTCGGAACCCACCGTGCGAACCTTTTTGAGTAGTAAATGTCGTTAAACACCCCGTAGAAGAGGTAAACGTAGGGAGGGAGAAGTCCAGTGATTATATCTATACCTTAACCAACCCTTGGGATGTTTACCTTGTTGAAGTTTTGCTATTGCTGACATTAGATATATTAATTAAGAAAGCTTTACCGACTCTTAAACACAACTCTCAATAAATAAAACTCATCAAAGATACAAGGCACATAATTTTGTACGCCAGACGCGAGTTTCATCTACAAAAGACTCATCAGTGAAGCTCAAATAAAAAAAGTTAAAAGGCCAACTAAAGTACGAAGTCGAAGAGTATTGAGGGCCCTAAATTCCGAAACATTTTGTCCAATACAACTATGGTCATCTTCCTGGAGTAGAAAATCCGTCGAATTTCAAACATTTCAAAGTTTTATAAACCGTTTGTTTATAAATATGACAATATCAATGATAATTCGTGGCAACACAGAAGTGCTGACTACTGTGCTGATGATACTCCTCGGGTAGAAAATCCTTAGAATTTCTAACAATTCAAAGTTTTGTAACGCGTGTCCGAGATATACCACATGAATTCAGTTTATATATGTATACACACAATCATGCAATCAATCTTTAGCTGTTAAACCAAACATATGTGTATATTATGTCACTATTTAAATCCTTATGGAAAAGAGTGTTCTAAAATCGATACAAGAATAAATTTGTGTGCATGGTTAAGTAATAAGTTTTCTGTTAAATATTAAATTTCACGATATCCATTTTCAGAAAATCTATTTGCTGTTTCAATTATGAAGAAATTAATGGTGAATGTGTTGGTAATTGTATTGATTTTTATGAATTAAAACGCAAACTAAAATTGTTTTTTTTTTCACGCTTAAAGAAAGAAATTTTTTCACTACAAAGGATTTTCTATATTTTTGAAGATGTGTTGTCAGTTGATTATTTAGTTTTTATCAAAAGTAGCATTTTCAATTACATAACGACTACGTGTATGGTTTACCTGTAAAAGAGACAATATCAGAAAAACTATCAAACTTTTTTTTCAAAAATGAAATGAGTTTATTAAAAAAACTAAGGAAGAAAACAATGATCAAACAGATCCATAACATGCAAAAATCAACCAGAGAGACAACAGGATTAGCAAGAGAAATAGACGAAAACCCAAAAAATGTCATCAAAAATAACTCAGAAAACCCAGATTGAACACACGAAAAAAAAAACGATCATCAAAACACAAAAAAACAAAAAACGTGAGTTAACTCCCAGGCTCTCCAGAAGGATCAGCATTTCCTGTTCCATTAATGACATGCGTCTATTGTCCCCCCCCATTTGTTTCTTCCTACATTTCCTCATAAGACATTAACATATCAAAAACCTTTGGTACACGCTAATTATGTTGGCACATGAAAATTCTATCAAAACATGAACGAATGTAATATATGGAATGAAGTAAAAATATCAGACACAAAAAATATAAAAGAGCCGTGTCGATAGACATTGAGAAAAAAATTCACACACAACTTAAACACAATGAATTCAAGCCCCTTTAAATATTGAAATTATATAGTTAACAACACTATATGTACTTATGTGTTATAAAAGATTCATGGAAAAAAATCCAGATGACTCAATGAAAATTTTAGTATTTAATATGAAAGCATGGAGATTATTTAATGAAATAATTATTCATAGATTTATTTCAGAGTGTAAACGAGGTTCGACTTCATGGGACGGAGGCTCTTGTCTGCCATGTAAGGACAATATATATGGCATCAAATGTCTCAAAACTTGTAGTTGCAACTATCATCAGAGGTAAGACAAAAAGTAACTGTCTGTGTAAAGTTCATGCGGTTTTATGCTGTTTTAAAGTCTCAAACAGTCAATAATTTGGAATACAAAATGTTATTGACACAACAATGGGATAAGAAAAACAGTATTTTATTCCACACGGACGACTTTTAGGAAAACTCATTGGCGAATGGGGTTAAAAGTTTTTATTTTCTTTTACTTATTTTATTCGTTTTTTGCAAACAGCTAGTTCCTTGAAAAAAATATTTACATATTTATAAAAATTCACACTTGAAATGTTCGTATCAATTGACAGATGTGACCCTGTTATTGGATGTGTGACTTCAACGGTGACATCTGAGAGCAGCACAACAGTTACTGGTAAATTGCATATTGTAATTTTGTTCTTTTTTTTAAATCATTTTGACACACCTTAATCATTTGTCGTCTTTTATAAACTGTTAATTGTCTGGTCGTATTATGTTGTCGTATGGCATTTGGCGTTTTCTGTCTTCCAACGGCTTAATATTATAGTTAGTATATTTGATGAACTTTTATCGGTTTTCAACTCCCTTTGGTTTCTTTCATTTTGTATGTAACATTTGTTTAATTATAAGATAAGACAACCAATACACAGTTATGCTTAAGCTTTATTTTGGAGACAATCTTATGAGTTTCTGGTTGCTTTTTAAGTTTTGATGCCTAACGATTTCCAATATTAATTTCTTTGAATAAATGAAATGCGCATATGGTACATCAAATCAAATTAGTTAAGTTATAATGTCGTATATTATCACAATAATCTAAATGTATAACATTTCATTTTAAGCAATTAAGTAATGTTATTTTTAATCTTTATCTTATAATATGTATACAATACTGTGGATTCATTATTATTCGTTGGATACCAGTTTTAGTGGATTTCGTGGTTACCCAGAACCACGAATTGCAATGTCCAACGAATTATAAATTTTCTATTGGAATTTATGCAGACTTTGAAAAAAAACAACGAAATTAAATATCCACGAAAATGAAAGTTTTTCTCAATCCACGAAAATTGGTATCCACGACAATAAATGAATCCACAGTATTCAATTAAAGTGGGATTGGAAAAATAAACATTTATGATATAAGTTTTCACTAACTTAAAGTTTAAATAACGAAAACGTACAAAGACACCTTTTGATGTTTAATCTCTTAAAATTGGCTTTTATCAGAACATTTTTTTTCACATATAAATCTCAAAAGAAACTATTATTTATAACTGGAAAAATTATTAAAAAAAACTGCTGGGTTAACTTAATTGTAAAATCAAACCATCACCACATTGCAATTGAAATTTGAAGTCTATATCAAAGTAACTAATATGTTGACACAATTTGGATAAAAAGTAGATACTAATGAATAAATGTTCGTTTTCTTCATGCAGAATCAGACGAAACAGAAACTAATGCGAATCATTTTACTATTACAACCCTGTCACATAGTGATAAAGTCAGTGGTAAGTTTATGAGAACGTTAGATATATCTATTTTCGCAATTGCATTGCTGAATTTTGAATTATAATTTTCAAACTACCTATCTTACCAATCAATTAGACTACGCCTTTCTTTTGTGTTTTACTTCATTGTTTTGTTTAATTTCACGATCTTTAAAAGAATGTACATATATTTTGCATACAAAACTACACTCATAAAATTTCTAAAACGGAAGTCGTAATTAATAAAAAAAAAACCATAGAAGTATATATTCAATAATAACTTTAATTTGTATGGAGACACCATAAATCTGTGAGACTGTTTTTTTTTCTTTTTTATTTTGTTTGCGTCAGTTTTCAACCAAAAGCAATGATCATGTGTTGTTCGTTGCTGTTTGTCTTTGTTAATCTTTTCTCAGAAGGGCTTTTTTTTGTGGTTTGCCTAGTATGTTGTCCTGTCAAATATTTTGCGTTATTCCTGGTATCTATTTGATGTATTTCTTATACTCCGTCCATGTTAAAACGGTATGTTTCTTCAAAAATAGATTGTTTTTCTCAATTATGAATGACATTTCCCTTGATATCGTGTACCTCTTTTTAGATTGCACGAAGAGAAAGAAAATCACTTAAAACAGAAATAAATACTAAATCAGTAAAAAAACATCTGACGATATTCGAACAATCTGATCAAAAAGGTTTGGATGCCATAGTACAAAAGTAATTGCAGTTTGATGTAAAAATTATAAATTCTCTCAAAATCTCAGTTTAAGTGTCATTGAAATTTAAAAAGTGATGTACAGTTCAGACCGGTGAACGTAACTCATTGTCACGAGGAAAGAAAATGAGTTTGATAAAACACAAATTTCGAGCAACATTAAAAATTGACCTTGATCGAATATTAATCAATCATTTATATAAGTTCTCATCTCTCGTAGAACTGATGTTGCTTTTAGCAGGCATTTTTCCAATTTGAACAAAGACTTAATAATATTCATGCAATCTTCCCATGTTTTAACGTTGCAGGACCAGTACAAACAGAAACTTATTCAGTGCAGATAACTGTAGATACCACGCCTCACAACGGTGACGAAAATAGTAAGTTCATTTTGTGGAAAGCTTAAATGTTTCAAATTTTCAAAACACACACATAATTGTCATAATTGTGATAAACTTTCTGATATCTTTATTGTGTATTTGAACCATTGTATTTCTCACATGTTTCAATGAATAGTCCATTTTTTTGATTCAGCCATTAATGGCGGCGTTTCGGGTATCGGAATATTTTCCAGGTGTTACCCGTAGCCAAATAATACATTTATAAACTTAATGTAGCTACGGGATAAACTTCGTAAAGGAGAAAACACTCCACATACACATTGCAACCAAAAATAACTAATCCCGAGTAATTAGTCTGGTTTCAATAAATGCATATCCAATTTGAACAAAACCTAGCAAATATTCAAAAAAGACATGCAATCTTCCCATGTTTTAACGTTGCAGGACCAGTACAAACAGAAACTTTTTCAGAGCAGATAACTGTAGAAACCACGCCTCACAATGGTGACGAAAATAGTAAGTTCATTTTGTTGAACACTTGAATGTATTAATTTTTCAAAACACACAAATAATTGTCTTAATAGTGATAAACTTTCTGATCTCTTTATTGTGTATTTGAAAACATTTTATTTCTCACGGGTTTAATACCCAAAATAAACAAATACGTTTCAGTAATACCGTTATGCCTGTCATTATATATAGCTCTGTATAATATCTTTTCAGAGATTCTAAGCGGAGGATGGATATTTTCTTTTTCTTTATTTGGTATAATTCTTTTGATTTGTGTACCACATCATGTACGGAAATATATGCGAAAATCGAAACTTCAAATTGATAGGAATAAAGGTGTTGATAAGGATAGAAATACCAATAAAACTATATCCCTTCAGCATCATGAATATATCGAAGTAGACAATGAATACGAGGAAATTGATGACAATTGGCTTGATGAAAGTCTATTTCAATTGAAACGAAAAAATAAATCAGTATCAGTTGAAAGTAAAAGTAGTTCGGACAGATCGTATTTTGAGCCGAAAGATAATGGAAGCTATCTTAATCCATGTTATGTACCAGATGATGAAAGTGAAGGTGGAAAAGGTTCGGGCGATTCGACAGATTATAGTTGTTACGATAGAGACGAATCCATCTATTTGAACCCATACCTGGCATTACAACAACCCAGTGAGATAGATGTGCATGTATATGAACCGAATATAATTGTTCATAAAACAACGGACGAATCTTCTGATTTTGAATCAATCAATAACTTGAAGAGTTATGACATGTCTGCTGGATCCATCAAAATCCAAAATGACATAAATGTATCAACCGCGGCCACTAATAAAGGAAACGAATATATGACAATGCAAATTCGTCATTCACGAGAAGATATACACGTTTCAAAGCGTATGCTGTCATTAGAATTTAGTGATAAATTGTTCAATAAGCGTAAGAGTGAACCTTTGGCATTAAATAAAGCAAAGAGCAAACTCAAGTTTACTCCATATCGTGTCAAAGCATTCCATCTTTCGTATGAAAACTTTTATTCGTCTGAGGTTTTATAGATGGTAAAATTAGAGTTTAGTTGTATAGTTTCACTATTCTACATACCGTACAGTAGATCCGTACAATCTCTTTCAAAACCCGAGGACAACGTTCACACATCGCTTGATACTTAACAGGCGTAACAGGAAGTCGGCATGTACATGATTAATTCCTCAAAATTAAAAAAAAAGTATTGAAGGAGTTCTCTGTTTTACACTGTAGGCCAAAGTGGGACATGTGGAATGGTAATGCACTTCTATGTAATTTGTTTCTTGTTTTAACGTAAACGAAAAATATATGATAGTATAAAAAAATATTCAATTTGATTTGTTCAATAAATATTAGCAAAAACCATCCTCTGTAATGTTCCGATCGTATTAATTTCATGACCAAAATTGTTGTACATGTTGTAGTTTCCTGTCGGTTGTAGATTTAATTTAGACTCAGAATAGATCAAGTAAGGTCGTAGACACGGACAGTCTATAATGACATATTATTGTTATCAAGAGGAACTGACTATAATTTCATCCCCCAAATGTTACACTATAAATATTAGAATGCGAATTTGAATTAAAATGTGAAAGAATAGTGTGTTTAAGAAGATTATTGTATAGATGCTCAGTTGATTGTCACGATGTCTTGAGTTTACATTTGTTTTTAAACATTAATCTTTAAAGGGAAACATGTGTTATGCTACCTCAAAACGTTACAAATGTTACAAGTAGGGACAAGTGCAAAAAAGGTTGTTTACGACCGTCTAGGGAATTGAATTTTATCCAAGCCTGCTATCATTGCTAGTGTGTTAGAACTCATCAAAGATACCAGGTTTGAAAGGACAAGTACACGAATTTTGGAAGGACAAATACATGAATATGTGGAAGGACTAGAATAATATTGATATCTCGATCTTACCTCTGGATCATTGGAATTACAAACTTGATTATAAAGATCGATAAGAGGATTTTTTTGATTGCCAATGAGACACTTCACTTAAGACGAGATGACGTAGACGTTGATTTCGTAATTTTGACAAAATGCAAGCCTACAGAATATTTGTATTCTATTAAACGTTTAAATTTGCAGTTCAACTTTATCGGCGAACACAACTAAATTCTCCGAAAAGAATTATTGTAATTAATCTAATCTGTTAAAATTTTCCGAAGATTTCCTCTTCTTCTTAGTTGACAGATTAGACATCGTACCATGCTAAAAAAAACGCTTTTAAAACACTTGATACTAGTAAGTATGCTGAAACTGCTACAAAGGGCTCAATAAGACAGATATTAGTTACCTTCAAAGTGTAAATACCTGGAGTTATTGCAGAAACATTAAAAAGAGACCATACCGGTGGGTTAACAGGGTAGGCTAAACTTTGTCTGCATGCATCACATGCAATGCGAATCCAGAAAGAATAAAAAGTCACGAGAGGAATACATCTTTTCTTTGAGACGGGTTTGTGGTTACGATTTTGTAAAATTGATAAGGTTTTCTACCTTTAGACATGTTTAACTTAATCATGTTAATTAAATATTAATTATTTTCGGAGACAAATGCAGCCATATTTTTTCATACAAAGAAAAATTTTCAATAGCTGAAACTTTAATAGTACTAGTCGAATTCATACAATTTTTAATACAAATGAAGATAAACTATACCGTAGGTGGTTTGTTTTATTTTGACAATAAAGGACATCAAAACATGTCTTCAGTAAATACAAGGGATTTCCCTGTGAATTGATTAAATATATCTTGATATCGAAGGGAAGTAACCACTTCAAGGAAGTTTCAATAACAAGGAAGGAAAATAAATTATACATGTCATAGCCAAGGTCACTTATTTGATAAAAATAGGATTCAAACGCAGGCAATCAGGTAAGCTATAGATATCTTGGTTTGAAGTCACCTGTTGGGAATGTCCATATAATCGTAACAGATTTGATCACAAAACGAAAAGTACTGTTTCTATTTCTCATTTGAATACTAATAATATAAAATATTTTACACTCGTTTGGCAGTAAAAACACGTCGAATTTTCATTTTTAGAGGCTGACATTTTAACAAATAACAAGCAGTATGGAAATGTTGAAACAAGCATCAAAGTAATTAACAGCAGGATATCTCGATATCCACGATATTAACCGAAGCGTGTACGGCTGTAGGATTATACAGTTCATTTCATTTAAAAGTAGACAAAACGAAACTTAAAATTCTGTAAATTTATATAGATTTTAGTTCCTTTGTTAAGGAATTTTTGTCAACAGCTATTTAAAAGAACTCGTGTATTTTTTATCGCATATAAGTGTAGCAATATTATATATACACAACATTACACTTATATTGATATTTGGCATGTTTGAAGAAACTAAAATTCTGTAAATTTATAAAGTAAAATCACAAAAATGCCGAACTCCGAGAAAAATTCAAAACAGAAAGTCCCTAATCAAATGGCAAAATCAAAAGCTCAAACACATCAAACGAGATGTTAGTTTCTCCGTTGAGTATTTGTCAAGAGCTATTTAAAAAAAACTCGTGTATCACTTTAAAGTGTAGGGCACTGCTGTTGATATTTGACTTTTTATCATTTTAAGGCTAGCAATATTGACCTGATGAGGAGCCTAGGGTTTATTGACATATATAGACAAATACATGGTTTCGTTTTTTAATGTATAACGATCAATTTTTTCCCATATGCTCTGGTTTAAGCCATATTTGACGTCTCTAAAAGAATGTCGCATCCTATATACAAACAAAGACAGACTACTTATAAAATCTTCAAAAGGAGTTCATAATGTTAACATCAAGCAACATAGTTATATTGTGTTTAAACGGAAATTTGATAATTGATTTGTAAAACAATTAGTCAAATCCGTTGTGAAAACGGGAAACATTCAGTAAAGGGTTTTTATTTTTAGATAAAAATATCTACTGTGCAGTGGTAAACTAACAAGTTATTGCGTCCGTATACTTCATCCCATTTAGTCTAACGTTGATCAACCGGATTTGTTCTGGAGTCAGAATGATGTTTGCTCTGCCAATGACTGAATATGGCACAAGTTCAGTTAAAATAAACAATTTGTGAAATAAAGACATCATAAGTTGATGACGTAGGTATTGTACTATTCCGAAAATGTCTTGCGCATATATTTTGGTCAAGCATCTTTTGCGTTCATCTGCGTGGTAAAGCGTGTAGTTATGAATTGACAGTTTGAAATTGAAATCCGTATGGGAGAAGCATTGAAGAACTTTTCTATTTGTTTACAAAAAACATTGGAATATCTCTCTCTCTCTCTTTATATAAATATATATATATATATGTATGCACACGTATAAAAATTGCGGTTTTTATCCAACGCAATCATTGGTTTGAACGTTGATTTCAATTTAGACTTGTTTATATTTTTTCGTTTGGGCTTGTATTATATTTGCCTTCGGGTTTATATGATCCGTTCATCCTATTTTGACTCTTTCAAAATTCAAGAGTCTATCCTAAATTGAGGTAAATTATATGGCCTTCCAAATACCGTTTCGATTCCTAACATCACTGAAGAGACATTAATTGTCGAAATCCGGATATGGTGTACAAATTTTTGCACCTCATGTTTGCGGTATACCATCTTTTCCGCTAGTTTATTGTTTTCTGTTTGGTAATAAATTAATAATAAGACAAATTTTGTTACATCTTGTGATCCTTTTATTTGGCAATCGCCAATGGCAGTCAGCAGGGTTTAGGAACATCAGTTGTTCGACCTGCTAGACAAATGCGTGTTGTTAAAATATACTTTTTAACTCATTTGGTCTTTTGGAAAATGTTGTTTGTGTTGTATTTAGACCCCTCTACCAAGAAATTTGTTTTGCATGCACACGTATAAAAATTGCGGTATTTATCCAAAGCAATCATAGGTTTGAACGTTGTTTTCAATTTAGACTTATTTATATTTTTTCGGTTGGGCTTGTATTGTATTTGCCTTCGGGTTTAATTGATTCGTTCATCCTAATTCGACTCTTCAAAATTCAAGAGTCTATCCTAAATTGAGGTAAATTATATGGCCTTCCAAATACCGTTTCGATTCCTAACATCACTGAAGAGACATTAATTGTCGAAATCCGGATATGGTGTACAAATGTTTGCACCTCATGTTTGCGGAATACCATCTTTTCCGCTAGTTTATTCTTTTCTGTTTGGTAATAAATTAATAATAAGATCAATTTTGTTACATCTTGTGATCCTTTTATTTGACAATCGCCAATGGCAGTCAGCAGGGTTTAGGAACATCAGTTGTTCGACCTGCTAGTCAAATGCGTTTTGTTAAAATATACTTTTTAACTCATTTGGTCTTTTGGAAAATGTTGTTTGTGTTGTATTTAGACCCCTCTACCAAGAAATTTGTTTTGCATGCACACGTATAAAAATTGCGGTATTTATCCAAAGCAATCATAGGTTTGAACGTTGTTTTCAATTTAGACTTATTTATATTTTTTCGGTTGGGCTTGTATTGTATTTGCCTTCGGGTTTAATTGATTCGTTCATCCTAATTCGACTCTTCAAAATTCAAGAGTCTATCCTAAATTGAGGTAAATTATATGGCCTTCCAAATACCGTTTCGATTCCTAACATCACTGAAGAGACATTAATTGTCGAAATCCGGATATGGTGTACAAATGTTTGCACCTCATGTTTGCGGAATACCATCTTTTCCGCTAGTTTATTCTTTTCTGTTTGGTAATAAATTAATAATAAGATCAATTTTGTTACATCTTGTGATCCTTTTATTTGACAATCGCCAATGGCAGTCAGCAGGGTTTAGGAACATCAGTTGTTCGACCTGCTAGTCAAATGCGTTTTGTTAAAATATACTTTTTAACTCATTTGGTCTTTTGGAAAATGTTGTTTGTGTTGTATTTAGACCCCTCTACCAAGAAATTTGTTTTACATGCACACGTATAAAAATTGCGGTATTTATCCAAAGCAATCATAGGTTTGAACGTTGTTTTCAATTTAGACTTATTTATATTTTTTCGTTTGGGCTTGTATTATATTTGCCTTCGGGTTTAATTGATTCGTTCATCCTAATTCGACTCTTCAAAATTCAAGAGTCTATCCTAAATTGAGGTAAATTATATGGCCTTCCAAATACCGTTTCGATTCCTAACATCACTGAAGAGACATTAATTGTCGAAATCCGGATATGGTGTACAAATTTTTGCACCTCATGTTTGCGGTATACCATCTTTTCCGCAAGTTAATTGTTTTTTGTTTAGTATTAAATTAATATTAAAGATTCATTTTGTTACATCTTGTGATCCGTTTATTTGGCAATCGCCAATGGCAGTCAGCAGGGTTTAAGAGCATCTGTTGTTCGACCTGTAAGTCAAATGCGTTTTGTTTTAATATATTTTTTCACATTTTTGGTCTTTTGGAAAATGTTGTTTGTGCTGTATTTAGATCCCTCTACAAAGAAACTTGTTTTGCATGCACACGTATAAAAATTGCGGTTTTTATCCAACGCAATCATAGGTTTGAACGATGTTTTCAATTTAGACTTGTTTATATTTTTTCGTTTGGGCTTGTATTATATTTGCCTTCGGGTT